AACAAGAGAGAGAGAGAGAGNGGGAAAAAAGGCTAGGCCAACGGTCCGTCCTTTTTCTTCAGTGTCGTGGCCGGACGCGGGAGGATGCTGTCGGTGCGGTGGGTGCAAAGCAGGGAAGCATAGAGGGGCGGGGTGCCGTTGCCTCTCTCCGTCGCCTTCTCTTTGCCGCCCTCCCCGCCCCTGCCTTCCTCCCGCTTGGTTTTGCTCCCACTTTTTTTTGTTTTGTTTGTACTCCCACTCCCCACCCCACCGCGCCTAGAAATTAGATTCACCCGCGTCTTTTGGTGGTTGTGTTCGTGGCCTCCCCCGTGACTTCCTCCCCTCGTGTCGCCCCCGCCCCGCCCCTCCGGCGGGGTTGGGGGCAGGCGCAGAATAGAAGCGGCCGCACCAAAGAGAAGTGACCCCAGAGAAGAAAAGAAAAAGAAACACTAGAAGAAGAAGAACAAAGAGAAAAAAAAGAACAGCAGGAACGAGATGCTGCGATGGGAGGGAGATGCCGAAGGAAAGGAAAGAGGAGACGAAAGCCGCATTGCCCCTCTCACCCTCTCTCTCTTTGTGTGTGTGTGTGCGTCTACCGACCCGCGTGTATGCGCCGGGACGGCGCCACGGGGACGTGGCACGTGTTGGAAGGAGAAGCCGCGGCAGGCAAAGGAAGAAGCGGTCAACTAAATTGAAAACTTCCCTCCCAACTTTCATGCGTCTCCGCAGTGCGAGAGAGCGGCAGAGAAAGGCACATGCACACACGCACAAGATACCAGGAAGGTTTCTCCTCCCTCAGCATCATCAACGTCATTGAACTTCTTTTTTTTTTTTTACTTCTAGATGGAGAGTTATGTGCTTGTATGGAACTGCCTTTTTTGTTTTTTTGTTTTATTGCTTTCCTCTCTTTTTAAATCGATGCTTTTTAGATGTCTTTCCCACATGTTCCTCGGCCTTTCATTTTATGTGCATCGGCATGGCGGGAGTCAGCGAGGTAGGTGTAGATAGAACAGGGGAGAGTAGGGGGAGGATAATACGACCCCCACACATGCCTGCGATAAATAGGCGGAGAAACGAGGCGGGTAACATGAAGAGAGAGGAGCTGGCAGGGTACACAGAGAGAAAGAGAGACTCCAGTAAAAGAATACGTGGGGGTTAAGGGAGTAATGGAGGAAAAAGAGCAGAGAGTAGGTTGAGCGCTTCTGAATGGACGAGGGAAGAGACGTAGAGAACTCAAGCTCCTTTCCTTGTATGTTTCTTCGTTTCCTTTGTTTGTTCTTTTTTTTTGTTGCCAGTTTTTTTTTTTACATCTTCCCTTACTGCCTCGGACACGTGTACCGTTTTCAAGTCTTCCGCGGAGGTAATGTGACTCCGTTACCCTCGCTGCGCCAGTTTTATTTGCATGTGTGCGTGTGTGTGTGGTCCCATTATTATCACTATCACTATTATTGCTTTTTTTTTACGTTGTTGTCACTGTGTTGTGTGGGCGTCGCCGCACAACGCCGCAGCGCCTTGGAGGACTTCCCCTGCCGCTGCGTCAGACGCGGGGAGAGAAGAAGACAAGCGGGGCATGCGTAGCCACGCATGAATTCTGTAAAGTCAAATAATTTGTTCACCGAGGATGAGAAAATGCATTAAAAAAAACGAAGAGACAGAGAGGGGTGGTGCCCCTCCACCAGCTTCGTGGGCAACACACGCACACACTCGCTTTCGCAAGGTGTGTCCGTGTGGGTCGTGCGGCTCCGCGCGTGGTGTCTCACGTTTGATGGTATATGTATACATCTGTAACGAAGAAGAGTCTTGTGGAGGCTGCACCCACACATGTGGGTGTGGTGGGGGAGACGACAGTTCAGAGGGAAACGATCCGCTCTCTTTTTGTCTCTCTCAAGCCTTCGCTATTTCTTTTTGAGTTCTCCTTTTGGTTGTCTTGCGGGGCGCCAGCGCAGCGCACCGCCAATAAAGAGAGTGAAGAAGAAGATAGAAGAGGAATTGAGTCCCTCCACCCTCCTCCTCCTTTTTTTTTTTTGCTCTCTAGCGAGCGACACAGGCAGGAACGGAGGATGGGGCTTCGCATGTTCCGCGATTTCCTGTACCTTCAACGGTGGGAGCGGGATGTGCTGATGCGGGACTCGCGCCGGGAGGGTTTTCTTGTGAGTGCGTTCCGCCGAGTGCCGTGGTCGGGAGTCGCCATGTTTTTCTTCATCATGGTCTTCTTTGGCGTGGACCTCGGTGCCGGCATCAAGCACACTGCAAAGCAGATCCGCGAGAAGAAGGAAGACGCGATGCAGTCTGTGGAGCTGCAGAAGGTGCAGGCGCGGCAGTGGTCTGTGGAGCAGGTAAAGAACTTCCGTGAGGGGGAGGTTCCAAAGCCGTCGTGGACCGAGGGAGGTCCGCGCGGGGCAGCCTCATCTGCTTAGCGGCCCCGGTGTGCGTGGGGCGGGCGAGTAGCGCGTGCGCTTCTCCGTGCGGCGCAAGTGGCAGTGGGCCGGGAGGCGGGCGCAGTTGCGAGGGGCCTCTCTATAGTGACGGTGGCGCTGAACATAATGGCAGGGCGTGTGGTGTAGCAAAGATGGTACATGGTGCTGAGGAGGGCTGGTGTCATTTTTTCATTTGCCCCTCCGCGTTTTTTTTAGCGGTTGTAAATATATACATATACATTCATACTGCATCTATAAAGCTATATATTTCTTTGCTGGTTTGAATGCTTTTTTTTTTCCTTTTCCCGTTTATATCCCTTCTTCTTTTTGCAAAGCTGCGCTGCAGGGGGGACATCAGAAGGAGCCCTCTGCCCTCTGCTCCCCCCCCTCCCCCACACGCACGGAGGGCGAGAAAAGGGGACACTCACTCACTCTCTCTCTCTCTTTCTCACACACACACACACACACACGGGCGCAACAGCAGAGCAGCGACCACGCATGCTCGCCCGTGTGATCCACGACTTGTACTATCTGAAGCGCATCCACAGCGTGGTGCTGGACGAGAAGCTCGGGCGTGCACTGAAGGCGAAGCTGAGTGCATTGAACCTACGCGATGGCCCCTCCCCTGGTCCTGCAGCGCTTCGCCGGTTGGTGGAGTGCTTAGTATACTTTCAGCTTGAAAGCAGCCCGGTGACGGTGAACGCGATTGCCCTCGTGCGAGAGGAGCTCCCCCAGATGGCGGGGAGTCAGCTTTCTCGAACCATCGCGGCGTGTTGCGCACTTGGTCAACACGACGTTTCTGTGTCTGCCGTATCGTTGCTGGCGGAGGCGCTGCCCAGCATGGATGGCGTGGGAACTGTGCAACTCATTCAGTCTCTTTCCGAGGCTGGCGTGCGGCATGAGGACACCTGGTCACTTCTTGCAGAGCACTGCATTAGACGCATGGATAGCTTTACAGGGCGACAACTATGCCGCATTATTGAGTGTTTTTACGAAAGAAAGGTTCAATACCCTGACTTCTACGTTGTGGCGGAGCGGCACATTTGTGCCCAGCCCTCGACCTACATTTCAATGGAGCAGCTAAACGGCGTCATCGAGTGCTACCGGGGACTTGGTCTGCCTGTCGTGTCACTTCTTGCCGCCAGTTCCACCCGTTCGGCGGAGGGGTTTGACAGCGGCCTGGTGGCCGTGTCGCCCACGAGGCCGCGGCGGAGTCGCGGCGACGGCGCCGGCTTGGCTGCGGCGGGAGGGGATGGCCCATCGAACCATGCCGTGATGGCGACCTTCTTGGAGTCGGCGCTGAAGGCCATGCGGGTGGCGGACGACCCACAGCTGAGTGACATGCTGCAGAAGTGCGAGGCGAAGCAGGTGATGCATCCGGAGATTATGGAGGCGGCCGCGCTGCGGCTGGGGGAGTTGCACGCCGCATCTCCAAACGTTTCCAGAACGACGGCACTCATCCGGCTTATGATGCGCTTTCAGAAACGGGAGTGGTTCACTGCCGCCGCCCAGCCTCTCTCGCGGCTCTTGGACGAGTGCGCGGAGAGCGCGATTCCAGTACTCGGGCACCGCATGCTGACGCTGGCCGATGGCGCGTTGAAGTTCTTCCCCACCGAGACTCAGCCCACGCACTTCTACGCCGCTCTGGTTCGGGAACTTAAGTTTGACGACGTGGCGGCCAGCACGGACGCCAGGCGGCTGCCGCTTCTTGCCGGCGTCATGATTTCCCTCCGCGCCTACGGGGGCCATGAGTTGCTTGAGCAGCACATGCCTATGCTTTCCGTTGCGGCGGCAAACGCGCCACTGCGAGTTCAGGTGGAGCTTGCTGCAATGCTTGCCCCGCTGCCAGCCGCGCGAAGGGTGTTCCTTCCTGATCTCTTTCACTCCCTCTCTTCAGCGAAAAACTGGGTGCGCATTCTCACAGCACGTGAGGCAGTGCTGCTTCTTGAGGCTCTCGTGCGTAGCCGTTTGCCGTTCAACGACCTGTTGCTGGTGGTGGTGGAGTACACTAGAGGAAATCTTGGCCGCTTCGACGCCTCCGAGTTGGTCAATATTCTGCTGCAGTGCGCGACGCTGGGGTTTAGCGATATTGAGTTTTACTCCGCGACGGCCACGCATATCCTGGAGAAGGCCTCAAGGAGTAACGTACATGATCTTTGCCTGCTCATGTACGTTTTTACTTTTGTCCTGAAGGGTGTGATTCGTGTGGTGCAGCAGATACTGCCCCGCCTGCGTGTCTCGGCAAGCCACACCGTTCCGCGCGACATCACTCTGGTGCTGTATAGTACGGTGAGGCTTGGCATTACCCGCCACACGGAGGTGACGACGCCCTTCTGCGATCGTGCCGTGAACATCATCGCATCCTTCAAGGGTGAGGAGCTGGCCAGTTGTATGACGTCTCTGCGTGCCCTTCGGCTCGACCACGAGGGTCTTCTCTCCGCCGCGGCCCACGTGCTAGGCGCCGAGCTGGCGCATCGTGCGTCCGCCGTGTCGGACGGGGAGAAGGAGGAGGAGGGCGTCCGCCTCAGCGACGCGCAGATTGTTACCATCGCAAGTGCCATTGTGCAGCTGCGGCGCCCATTGCTGCGGACGGAGTGGCATGCCCCCCTGCAGCGCATCTGCCTCGGTTGCCTCCCCACGGCAGGGCCTGGTCAGACGCATCACATCGCCGTCACAGTGGCGGCCCTCGAGGGGGCGCCGTGCCAAGCGGGGCAGTGGGAACAGTTACTGCAGCACGCCAACGCCGTGTGCCAGCGGTTTTCAAGCGGCCCCGCCACGGCGGAGGTCCTCCTCGCCCTCCACGATCTCATCGCCCGTGACGGCGCCACCGACGGCAGGGAGGCGCTTGCAGCCTCTCCGCTGCTTGCCCACGCACGGCGAAATGTGGCGGATGTTATGGCCAACGCGGAGGTGCGTGACAGGCTACGCAGCAAAGGGCTCTTGGCCCTCATCGCCGGCGTCGGCGCGGCGTTCAGCGACGATGAGTCTGAGCGCGTCTCCTCCCGCGACATCCCACTACGTGAGTCGATGTTGCTTCATCACAAGAAGATGCGGCAGGCCGCCCCCCGCGGGGGGTCGAAGCGCCTCAAGACGCGGGCCCTAAAGCCAACTTCGGTTAAGGTCGCGGCAAAAGCAAAATCCATGAAGAGGAAGGAGGAGGAGGATGAAGCGGACGGCGGCACGCCGCACGGCCCTAGTCGTCATCTTCGCGGTTGGTCGGGCAAAACAAGCGCCGCGACCACTGCTGACGATGCGGGTACGAGCGTTGAGGATGAAGCGGCGGGTGCGAACGCTTCCCTCCCGCCTTCTAGGCGTGCCGGAGCGAAGAAGTTGTCTATTGACTTTGGTGTAGAGTCTGAGGCTGAAGTGGAGGAGTTCCACATTTAGGCGCCCCCCCGCTTCCCCTTTCATCCCCTTTACTTTGCTTTATTCATTTGACCTGCCTTTTGCTTTCTGTGTCTTTCCTCCGCACAATTTTGTTGTGGTGGCAACCTCGACCGCCCCCCCCCCCGAGCGTGCGCAGAGGCGTACTTTTTATCACTTTTTCTTTCATTCTTTTTTTCTTTTTTTTCTTTTTCTTTCCGCGTTTGCGCAGTAAAGGAGTGAGACCGAAGAGAGGCGTGCAGAGGGGAGGGGATCCGTAGGCAGGGATGGCTCGACGACGCAGCCGCCCACCGCTGCCTTGTGCCACGTGCGGGGAATCTCATTATTAAGGGCGCAGTAGCGTCCTCCCCCGGCGAGTCCCAAGTGGCCGTCAGGGGAGGGCGGGGCGACTGATCGCCGTTGTGCCTGAGTCATGTGAGAGAGATCGTGATAGAGAGAGAGAGAGAGGGAGAGCTTAACTGCGGCGGGAAGGGCCTCACCGGCGGCCCAGCCTCCGTTTCTTCCATCTTACTCCACCCCACTCCCATCCCTCCCTTCTCCCCCTTCTCTGCAGCTTTTTCGCCTCACCGTTCGTCGGTGTTGCAGGCATTCCTATTGTGTCCAATTACCTTTTTTTTGTTTTTGTTTTTGCTTGCTTTCTTTCTTTCCATTTGCCTTGCAGCGTTGCGGTGCTTTGTAGGCGGCGAGGTATTGAAAGTCGATGCTGTTGCGGCTCGTTGTGTACGTAGATGACGCGCTCCTCCCGTTGGAATTGGAGGACGCGTGCGTTTGTGTCTCCAGCATGCTGGAGCTTGCCGTCTACCTGAAGAACACGCTGCAGCGTCCCCCGAGGGTTATTTTTTACTGGAACTTTGGGCACAATCGATACGAGCTGCTGACCACGCTGCAAACACTCGTGCAGCACTATGCCGGCGGCGATGCGGCTCACGGCGCGGCGGAGAACTCCGTCGTGCCGGCACACTTGTGGGTGGAGACGCGGTCGCTCCAGCTCGTCCCTGTAGACCCGGACGTGGATGTTGCAGAGTACGCGTATCTCGTGAAGCATGTGCGGCGTGGGGCGGGGAATAAGTACGTCATATTTTTGCTTCAGAATGCGTTGCGTGTGACCGAACCGAGCCTGGAGCGTTTGTTTGACGATGTGCGTGGGACACGGCTGTACGGTAGCCCGGGCCGCGTGGAGTTGCTGTACTACGCAAACAATTCTCTTAGTAGCAGCGAGGTGCTGCAGCGCGGGTTTGACCGCGGGGGAGGGAGCGGTGGTTGGGCCATGCCGCCGCTCAATTCCGCCCCGGCACCCACGGCGGGGGTGCAGCCGCCGCCTCCGTTCGTCTTCACCACCTCCATGAAGGACCAGGACGACAAGGAGGTCTTCCCGTCGGAGCCGCACAAAGTTCTCCTGTGCGAAGTCGCCCTGGGCCGCGTGTGGCCGTCTGACGTTCCCTTTTCGAAGAGCCTGGCGCCGCCGCCACCCGGCTACGACAGCGTGTGCCATCGGGTGGTGAGGGACGACGGGGTCGTTGTGAAGGCGGTTCGCGTTGGGCGGGACTTTCAGGCGCTGCCACGCTACGTGTTGACGCTTGTCGCGAAAAAACGTAACCGCCGGGGCACGCCGCCCCGTGAGATTTACTTATCCCCCGACATCCCGCCCAGTCCCGCCACGCGCCGCCGGACGGGGAGCGTCGGTAGCGAGGCCTTTGCGGGTGTGCAGAATAATTCGCTTGCGCAGGGGCAACGGAGAAGGTCCGGTTCGGCGCCGCTGCTGATGAATGGACGGCAAACGCGGTTGTCGTCGCGCCCCACCGACGTCACGTGTGCGGTGCACGTCGGGACGCTCCTGGGACTCTGGTGCTCGACGTGCGGGCGCGTCATATGCCCGTATTGCGCCTCCGTTGGCGACCACCGAGGCCATGAGGTGGCCAGCGTGGAGGGCGTCGTGGGTGACATGCGAGGGAAAGTGGGTGGTGTTTGCCAGGAGCTTTCCGCGCAGCTGGAGAAATGCCAGCGCGTCGAGGCACGCCTGAAGTCGCAACAAACTGAGCTGTTGGAGCGGCGTGACGAGGCGGTGGCGGGGGCGGAAAAAGCCTTTTCCGGCCTGCACCGCCTTATAGACAGCAAACGAGAGGAATGGCTTGCACGCCTGCGGGAGCAAACCGCGTGCCTAGACGAGCCCCTCGCGGAAGTGGGTCGTATCGTGCAGCAATACATGCGGACCATGCAGGCGTTGAGCGATGCCTGGGAGCGGGCCGGCGGGGATCCCACTTTCCCCGCAGACTCCGAGGCGATTGCGCCTGCCGCAGTGGCCAGTGCCGCGTACTTGCTGGCGACACCCAAGCTTCTGGGCGAGGCGCGTCGTTTAGCGGGGAAGGGCCATGACGCGGAGTTGGCGCTGGCGACAAATGCGTCTGCACAAATTTGGACCAACGAGGCTGCGCTTTTCCACCTTGACTTCGCAGCCGTGCGCCAGAGCATCGAACAACTTCTTCCTGAAAAGGGCGCGGGCCAATTGGCGGGGTCTTCGCTTCCGTCTATGCGGAGGAAGTCGACACGTCTCCTGTCTCCCTCAAGGGAGTTTCTAGACGGCAGCCCTGAGCGACGCACCGTCGCAGGCTCCCCGACGTCGTTGTTGCTGCAGCGGACAGATGGGACGATAGATGAGTTGCCCTTTGACGACTGCTCCGTGGATACCCACAACACGGCACGACAGCAATTATTTATGCGGCATCTCTCAGATGTTCGTCAGGGGCACGTTTGGTGTGTGCCCAATGCAAGTAAGTACTTTCATCATGAGCAGCGGCGAGCCGTGTGCTCTGGGACATTTGAGCTCATGGGCCTTGAGTGGGAACTGCGAATTCAGGCCCCGGACGCGCAGGTGGGGTGTGGCCCGTATAAAGGTCAAGCCAGGCATGCTGGCGAGGCGGAGCCTGTCGGGATTTTCTTGTATCCGGTCGGCCACACACAGCGCCTGGACTTTCGTATTTCTATTTTTTCAGCTGTGTTTTGGGCGGAATGGACGGTCACCGGCTGGACGGCGTCGTTTGCAGGCAAGGGGTGGGGCATCTACCCCTTGCTGCCGCGTCGGGAGCTGATGCAGACGGATCGACTGGCGTGCAACAACACACTGAAGATATGCTTGGCACCCACAAGTGGCGTCTATTAGAGAAGTGGCCGGGTGGAAGCCCGAGGGGAGAGGAGTGCGGATGACGATGGCGATGACGATGGTGATGGTGATGGTGATGGTGACGATGATGGTGGCGGCGGCCATGCGTGTTTCATCAACTTGTGGCGTGTTGAGGCAGTTCAAAAAGTACCGGACATACTCACCGGGGGCGTGTGTGTGCGTGCGCGCGTTTCGGGCTGGATTGGCGGTGAGCTTCCCACGAGTTTTCTTCGTGCCCCTCTGCGTTACCACCACCTTTCACTCACTTTTATAGGTGTGTGTGTGTGCGCCCGCCCCCTTCCCCACGCTGCATTGTACATTAACTTCTTTTCTTCTTCCCCACTGGGGTCAGTCCTGTACAGTTTTAAGTCTGTCTACTCGCTATTTCTTGGCTTGTGTTTATGTTTTGTTTTTTTCTCTATTTGTTTTCTTGGCCTGGTCGTCACAGACGACCGAGGAAAGAGAAACGGCTCTCAGGCTGATTCGGCAGACATCTGCTCCTTTTTCTCCGCGTGCTCGTTGCTGCTGTTGCGTATACTGACTTCTCACGACATGTTTCAAGTCGTATGTAATATGTATTTATATAAACATACATGTGCATATATATATGTATATATATATATATATATATTCCATTTCTCCCTCTTGCTCTGTGGGGAGGCAGGTATAGATGTTTGTATGGATTCATGACTAGAGGAGGCGTGTGGCGGTGTCTGTTTCCACCCACTACTCGGACGCGTGGTGGGTCGTGGCTGGCGTGGCTCTGGCGGAACCCGGCGCTGCGGGGCACCACCACGCCACTGTGGTGTGCCTGCAGCGGCCCAGTCTTTTTCCGCGGCGTCGGGGACGCCTACGAATGTGAGTTGTGCGGCGGCAGGCAGCGAGTCGTGAGGCGCGTCCCAGCGCCGCTTTTCCTCCCCCCCGCGAGCGGCGATTGTGTTTCTGTCACGCCGGGTTTGGGCTACGGGGAGGGCGTGCGGCGGGTGATTGGGGAACTCGACTCGCATCTCGCGGCTGTGGGCACCACCTACGCCGCCCTCACCACGCGGCTGCCCGTGGCCCTGAGGTCAAGCTGCCGGAGCCTCGCGGCGTACAGGGCGTGGCGCGGGCGGGTGCGGGCGCCGCATGTCCCCCTCGACGACGTGCGGCTCGCCGTGTACGCATTGCGCTTCGCCCTGGCCGTCTACGCCCTGCCCTACGAACTGGGCTACTTCAGCAGCGTTGTGCGCTCGCTTGGGCTGTTGGCGCCGCGCCAAAACCGATACGCGCTTGCGTCGACGGCGGATCAAGTTTCTTCCATTCGCCGCATTCTTTTTGGCGGCAAGGACGACCCGCTGCTCGAGGTGGCGTACGCCCGCTACTCCGCCACCCTGCAGCAGCCCTGCTTCACGATCTTTCTGGACCACCGCCTGCGACGGGTGGTGATCGCGTTCCGTGGGACCCTCTCGCTGGCGGACGTCATTGCCGATCTGGGGGGCGGCTACGCCTCCGTCTGCCTGGGCACCTACCGCAGCCCCGCGACGGGCGAGACGGAGAAGCTGCACTCGCTCGTGCCACGTGGCTTCTACGCGAATGTCATGGAGGCGGGAGGACACATTTTGCATGCGCTCGGCACCATTCGGGCGAGCTACCCTGATTACGCGATTATGGGTGTGGGCCACTCGCTTGGCGCTATTGAGGCGATTCTGTTTCATCTGCTTTTTTTCTTTCCCACTGCGCGGCAGGCGACGGAGTTGCGTACAATCGCCTTCGCGCCTGCCCCATGTATAGATCGCGCGGTGGTTGCCAAAGTCAATGAGCTGCTCGGCGAAGAGGCGATGACGTCGTGGGTGTACGGCCTTGATGGGGTGTCGCGGCTGCAGGCGGGTTCTCTGCGCGGCCTCTTCTTCCCAGCCTCGCCGGGACCTGCACCAGAGGGAGAAAACGCGAAGAAGGCGGCGGAGTTGCAGCAGCAGCAGCAGCAATTGCCGCTTCTTGCCATCCCGGGTCGAGTGTTGCATTTGGCGGAGGACAACGCCGAGGTACTGCAGGTTCCCGTCAACGCCCCTTGGCGAGAGCAAATGTTTCTGGGGAAGGAGGCCCTGCTGCACCACTTCCCATCGGTGTACGGCGCCTCCCTCTACAAGATTCTGATGGAGCACGAGAAAAGCACAAACGTGTCTGGGGAGGTGCGGCAATGAGGCGGAGAGGGTGTAGGAAGAGGCCGCCAGCGAATGTGAAAAAAAAAACCGTACTAATTTGCGGTTGGCCCCTTGCTATATGAAAGGAGGACTACGCCGCTCGATGTGTTTTTGGTTTTATTTTGCTTTTGCTTGTCTTAGACTCCGCCGTTCTTCTTGCGGAAATACGCCCATTATTGCGGGCGCGTGTGCTGCGGCAACGGCGAGACAGAGGAGGGAGTGCGCGGCACAGCCACTTTTTGGGCTCTCTCCTTCCCGCCGCCCTTTTTCTCTTACTGCCACGCCTCCCCCCCCCCTACTCCCACGTCTGCAGCGTCGCAGCCGTTGAAATCTGCCCCCACTCCCATTCCACTCTGTTTTCAATGGCTTTTGCACGTTTCTGTTTATTGTGTGCGCGTGGCCGCTAGTCCATGTCGCGTGAGTCGATGGGGCACCGGAGCGTCGCGGGGAGCTCTGCCAGCTCCTCGCGAGGAGCTGGCCGCGACAACCCTCTCCACTCGCTGCGCGGCCTTTCGAGGGATCGTGGGACGAATGCGTGGTTTCAGGAGTTGGCCCAAGAGGCTGAGGACGAGGGCGATGCCGCCTTTTTCCGCCTGCGGGCTCCTTTATTTGAGCAGTCAGCGCGCCCGCACGTTTTCTCGGCAGAAGAGCGGCGGCGCATGGACAACTACGAGAGCATCGATTACGGCGAGGCCCAGTCCTTGACGTACAAGGCCCGAATGCTTAATCGAAAGCAGGAGCGTCGCTGGCTGAAGTGGATCATGTTTATCGCGGTGGGGGTCTGTGTTGGCTTGTGGTCTGTGCTCCTCCTTCAAACGCTAGATTTTCTGTCGACGCAGAAGCTGAGCCTGCTGGAGCGCTACATCAACGCCCGCGTAGACAAGAGTGCATCGGAGAATGAAACCGACCTATTTGGACTGACGCCTGGCGGGGTGCGTTGGAGTGACGTGGGTCGAGGGTATCTGATTTACCTCCTCTGGAGCGGCCTCGCCGCCTTGCTTTCCTCGCTTTGCTGCCTTATCGTGCCAAGCGCCGCTGGCAGCGGTGTACCAGATGTGATGGCGTACCTGAATGGTATTATGTTCCCGCGCATATTTAACATACGGAACCTTGTCGTTAAGACCCTCTCCTGCATTCTCGCCGTCGGCTCTGGGCTCCCGGTGGGGGCGGAGGGGCCCATCATCCACATAGGCTCTCTCATCGGTGCGGGGCTTCCAACGGGGCGCAGCCGGACGCTGCGCTGCAGCGCGGGTTCATTGCTCTCGACCTTTCAAAATCCACGTGATATGCGAGACTTCATCTCCGCAGGTGCGGCGTGTGGCATGACCTCTGCCTTTTCAGCTCCCATTGGCGGAATGCTCTTTGTGATGGAGGAGATGGCCACCTTTTTTCCTGTACGACTTGCATGCCTCGTGTTTGTCTCCTGTCTGTCGTGCATGTGTGTGATTCAGATTATAAACACTTATCTGGTTGGCTGGCAGGTTCCGGCGCGCCTGCCCGTAGCCACGGGGGCCGGCGAATTCCGCCCGTATGCCATTTCCATGTTTATTGTAGACGTTGTGAAGGGAAATCGTGTGCCGATGAACCTTCTGACGTTTATTCCGACCATTGTAGGAGCCATTGTGCTCGGCCTGCTGGCTGTGTCGTATACGGTGTCAAGTGTCAAGTTCACTCGATGGCGTTCAAAGCGACTGTTTCCAAGTACCCTGCTGCGTGTGCTGGAGCCATGCATGTGCGCCCTTGTGTATGCGACGGCGTGCTATGGGATTCCCTTAGCCTTTGGCTGCGTCGAGGTGCCGGAGTACGTAAAGGCGCACAAGGAGGAACTTAGTATTGAGCTCTTCACAGCCTTTTGCGCCGACCGCGAGAACACGTTTAGCCCTCTCGGCACTCTCGCCCTGACAAGCCCTTACAACGGCATTCGACTCTTGTTTTCCCGTCATACGGTGGCGGTAACGCCGTGGTATGCGTGCTTGCTGCACCTGCTCCTCTACACTCTCGGCTCCAGCTACGCGGGTGGCATGTTCATCTCGTGTGGCACGGTCATTCCCTCCCTCTTTATTGGCGCCGTGGGAGGGCGGCTCATTGGGGTCCTTTTCAACAATAGTGTCTGGGCGGATCCAGGCGTGATGGCGCTGATTGGGTCCGCCGCCTACTTTTCGGGCATCTCACGCCTTTCCTTTTCCCTCATTGTGATTATGATGGAGCTGACCTCCGACCTGACGCACATCACCTGCCTCATGGTGGGCGTGATTCTGGCGAGGGCCGTGGCGGACCGCTTCTGCCACTCCCTCTACCACTCCCTGCTGGAGGTGAAGGCGGCCCCGTTTCTCGAGATCCAGGCGAGCGTGCATAAGCTGGACATGTTCTGCGCCAAGGACATCATGACCGCCCCTGCCGTGACGCTCGCGACGGTGGAGACGGTGGCCCACCTCGTGGAGACGCTCCAGTCCACTCCACACAACAGCTTTCCCGTGGTGCTGACGGAGAAGGGCACCTACGACGGTGTCATCTCCCGCTCGCAGCTGGAGCTCCTGCTGTGGTTCATCTACTTCCGCGACGTGGAGCGGGGAGAGGGCGGCGAGGCGGGGGCCTCGTCGAGGAGCTGCGCCCCATCCGATGACGCTGCCAGGGGCAGCGGAGGCCGCCAGCACGAGGGACTACTGACGGTAGCCGACGAAGAAGAGGGAGGGGAGGCAGGCGGACGTGAGAGCGGCGCCGCCGCCGCCGCTGCCATGAGTGCGGCGGAGGCCTTAACACGGCGGCTTGAGCGGCAGCCTCATGCGACCTACGTGGACCTGCGGGAGGTGAGCGAGCGCATCTTTTGGCGACGTCTGCCGCCTTTGCCGCCGGTGGAGCTCCTGCCGGCGGCCACGGTGCGGTGCTTCGTGGATCTTTCCCCGTACGTGGATCTCAGCGCGTACTACGTGCGGGACCTGATGTGCATCTCGCGGACGTACCACATCTTTCGCCACTTGGGACTGCGGCAGCTGCCGGTGGTGGACCGCAATCACCGCGTGATTGGCGTCATCTCGCGCAAGAACTTCGTCAGTGATCGCCTGCATGAGCGGCTGCATGAGGCGGAGGAGGTTGCAAAGCGGACTGCGCGTGATAGGGCGCAGCGGCTGTACAGGAAATGCCTGTAGCAAGAGGGAGACAATAATGCCCACTCGGTGCGTCTGTGTCTGTGCGTGGTGTTGCGCCCCTCCTCTGTTTCTTTGCACACTCTGCACGCCCACGGACGACAGTTCTGCCTTTGGGGGGCAAAAAGAAAACAAGCCAAAGACGTGAACGAACAAAAGCTGCACAAAAAAAAAAGGGCGACTGCGTGGCCCCGCGACGTTTTTTTTTTTTTAAATACTGTGTGTGCGTGTGTCTATGTGTTGCGCTCTGCACTTACTCCGTGGCCTCTTTCTGTACTCCCGACTGTCCCTTTTTGGCCGTTTGCAGGACTTCATGTTGTGGGCGTGCGGTGTCACGGAGTTCCTGCTTCCAGCGGGGCGTTCCGCGACCGCACGGATCAAGCAGCGTCCCGAGGACTTTGTTGTGGTGGAAGTTGACCCTACCGGGGCCCGCACCGACGCGCCGGGTTATCGGCTGCCCCACACGGCCGCGCCCCGCCCCACGGAGCCCCGGCCACACAACACGCCGGCTTCGTCTCCGTCTCCGTCTCCTCCTTTTGCCGCCGCCACCGCCGCCGCCTCTGACGTCGCCGCCCTGCTGACGGCAGAGGATGTCCTCACGGATGCCGTGCGCGAGGGTTTACTCGCACAGTTTGGCAGCAAGCACGACGCCGTCGCGCGGTACGCCTCGGGTGCCGTGGGGAGGGATGCCGAAGGGGGTGCAAAGCAGTACTTTCTTGGGGCGCTCAGCCTGAAGGGGGAGCGGCAGCGGCTGCACCGCGCCCTCAAGCACGCCTTTCCCCACCTCCGCACTGAAACGCGCCGCGTCCCAGCCCCAGGCGGCCCTGCTGGGGCCTTGGATTGCCACGTGGTCGCCACGTATGATGCCGGCTACCTCCTCCTCGCCCACCTCCTGGGCGAGGGCCCGGCGGATGCGGTGGAAGCGTGGAGTAGCTCGGCGCCACGCAACGACGCGTTTCGCATCGCTGTCAACTTTCCGCAGGAGACGACAAAAGAATCGCGACGTGCATTTCACGAAGTGGTGTCCCGACGTTATCCGGGTCTCGTGTGTCGTGTCGCAAACGGGCAGGTGACGCTCAAGGCGGCTTTGACGCGGCGCCGGGAGAAGCGTGCCCGCGACGGCGTTGATGGCGCCGCGTCGGGTTTGTTCACGCACCTCGTTGTCCGCAAGCGCAGCCTCGACGTGATGGAGATGCGGCTTCTGCTGGCGGATTACTTTGGAGTCCCCGACACGGCCGTGTGCACGGCGGGACTGAAGGACAAGCGCGGCGTCACGTACCAGCGCTGCTCCGTCCCGCTCTCCAGCCAGCCTGCGAGGTCAAAGCCGCAAGGGGGCGAACACGTTCGTCTTGTTTGGCCCAGTGATCCTTCAAGCTACGTGGAGATTCTGCAGCGTTCGGAGCCCTGCTCTGCCCCTGTTGGCGTGGGCGAGCTCGCTGGAAACTGCTTCAGCGTGCGTCTCGTGGATGTGCAGGGGATAACCTTTTGCGAGCTTGCCCAGCGTCTGCGGCAGATTGAGTCCACCGGTTTTTTAAACTACTTCGGGCAGCAACGGTTTAGCGAACGTGTGCAGAACACGAAGGACCACGTCGGGGTGCATCTGTTGGCGGGGAGGTGGGCGGAGGCCGTGAGCACCCTGACGAGTTGTGTGCCGGGACTTTACGCGTCCTTCCCTGAGCGCATGGAGGCCCGCCACGTGCCAGCCGGCGCCCGTGACGCCCTGTGCGTTGTGCAGGCGCTGCAACGGCTCCATCGGACGCGGCACTCCTCCCCGGCGACGCCGCTTTCTGCGGATGATGTTCGTCTTTGCACCACGCGTTGGCAGCAGTTGTGCCACGATGCGCTTTTGGCAGTGCCGTACAATATTCGTCTCTTGTGGGTCAACGCGGCCCAGAGCCTTATTTTTAACATTATGCTCTCTAAGCTGCAGCGCACGGGTGCGGCTGCGGGGGCGGTAGGCGCCTTGCCCCTTCCTGGTCACCAGGTGAAGGTTGCAGAGGTCCTGCGGCCGGTGTTTGAGCAGACGCTGGCGGAGCTTGACGTGCGTGCGGCCGATGTGCTGGAGCAGAGGAAGGTTCTTGGCGTGCCGCTTCCAGGTGCCATGCGCCAGACGGTTGCGCGGCCGACGGGGTGCAGCCTCACGCTGGAGGGAAATGACGCGGCGGACGGCTTTAGCGCGACGGTTGAGTTTATGCTTCCGCCCTCCAGTTACGCGACCATCTTCCTGCGGGAGGCCCTGGGGTGTGAGCAGTGGTGGTAGACGCCGGGGACGGAGGAGGTCACGGGCCGATGTACGCCTCTCGGCGCAAATAAACGTGGCGGCGTGGCGGTCTCGTTTGTTTTGAACGTCTCTCTCTATTTCTCTTTATTTCTCACTGTTTGCCTTTTTGTGCTTCGTTGCTGCTGCGACGGCGACGACGCCGCTTCTTCCTCCGCCCCCTTTTCTGTTCGTGTGCGCTGCGCCGCCTCCGTAGCGCTTGGCTTCGCGCGCAGCCGGGCCGAGGAAGAAAAGGAGGAGGATACACCAACAGGCGAAGACCCCCAGCCAACAATCGCAGCACCACCACAACCGCAGAAACTAACAACCACCACCACAACAACAAAAATAATAATAATTATATAACAAGTTGCCTGGGGGGGGGGGGCAGCCTGCGTGTGTAACCGCCCTGGCGCTCTTCTGCTCCCACCCGGCTTGTTCACAGTTGGCGACACGGCGGGGGTTCATTATTTCTTGTTGCTTTTTGCTTGTTTCCTTCCTTCTCTCTCCTTTTTTTTTATTGCTGCTCCCGGCGGTTCCCTGTTGCTTAACGCGGAGGTCGTATGAGCAGCGGCGGGATGCATTCGGGGTTATTCACGTTGCACTTCACGCCTATATGCGCCACGGAGGAGAGGAAGGCCGCGGCCTCGGGCAGTATGTCTGCCTCCACGCAAAACTCCGCGGAGTTCGGCGATTGGCACATTCTTTTGCGCTTTGCCGTCGAGAACGAGGTGCTCTCGGTGAGACCGCAGGGGAAGATATTCGTCATGGGGAGTGAGTGCGGCAGCAGCGGCAGTAGCGAGGAGCCGGTGGCCATCCCTGGCTTGGGCCGCGTCCCCCGACCGGTGAAGGACAGGCACGCCGTAGTGGTGATGCGCTGCCACTGCCACTGGCAGTATACCGAGGCCTTCCGCTTTGACGTTTGCTTCGACCAGCTTGAGGGGGCCGTCGTGGGCGTGAAGGGGACGACGCTAACTGAGGTGACGATTAGCTGTGAAGGCAGCCAGGCGTACGGGTGGTATATTGGCGAGGCCACTGTGCGGGTCAAGGGAAATCCGTTTGTGCTGCCGCACCGTCTGCGATTCGTCTTAGACCCTTACGTGGGTGCGCAGTGCACGATGTGCCTGGACCCTGTCTACGCGCAGGGCTACACCTGCACGGAGTGCGGGGCGGTGGAGTACTGCTCACAAAAGTGCCAGGCGGCGCACATGAGTGGCGGCCACGGCCTGTTGTGCCCAATACTTCGTCGCACCTACACGCAGCGCTCAGGGAAGGTTTTGACGGAGACGGAAAAGGGCACACCTCTGGTGGCGTGGTGGCGCTGCTTGGAAGGCGCGCGATACTCGATTCTTGTGGATTTTCACAACTCCCTTGGGCACCCCATTGAGTTCTTTCTCTCCACGCTAAGGCCGGCGCAGGATGAGGGTCTGCGCTACCGGTTTATCGTGGACGAAGACACCACCCCTAGAGCAGTGAGGCAGGAGGAGCTTGTCGAGTTCGCATGCACCGTCTTCCGTGCCGTTAGTGAGAATTCCATCAGCGAGGGATGCACATCGCTGGCCGCGGCGTGTCTGAATTACATCTTTACCTTCAGCCGCCACATCGAGTCCATAGTGGAGTCGCACGTCCTCTACTACTACAGCTACCTCTGCGAGGACTTTGAGGGGACGATATGCTCGGTCGAGGAGTACGTGACGTACGCCCGGCCCATGCACGAGCTCGGGGTGGCGTTGATTGAGTTTGCCCTCAAGAGTCCCACCGCCCTGCTGTTTTGGCAGCGCATCAAGCTGGCCAAGAACGTTTTCATCAACCTTTACAATGTCAACACGAGCTGCCACTGCTCCAAAATCAAGGCGCTGGTGACGGCCATCCCGGGGCAGCAGCGGGAGACGCTGAGCCTGCTCTCGAAGGTCTTTCTCACCATGGCGGCGCGGGCCCCCAAGAAGGAGGGGCTGCGCCTCCTAGAGCAGGCGGAAAAGTGCCTGCGCGACTGCCTGCCGGCGGAGCAGGAGGCGGACGACGCCGCCGTGGACGCGGCGGAGGGCCACCACCACAACCGCTCCGAGGACTCCGACGCGCCCGACGACAACCTGGAGGAGATGGAGCCCTCCTGCCTCGCCACGCTCTACTACCGCCTCTCCACCCTGCTGCTGCTCTACGGCGACGCGAGCAAGACGCGCGAGGCGCAGGCGCTGAAGGCTCAGGGCGACGCGCTCATTGCGGGGGCCAAACAAACACCCGCAGATAATGCGGCCGCGGCATGATTCTTAAAAACAAAAAAGACACACACACATACACGCAAACAGAAATAAAAAAAAACGCATGCGGCAAAAAGCCGGCTTCCGGAGGGAGGAAGAGGCGAGCATCCTCCATCTCTTAAGTAATTCACCGCAGGGAAGGCAGTGCAGGAGGGGGAAAAAAAGGAAGGAATGGAGAGATCCTGAGAGAGAGGGATGGAGGGCGAGGGCGAGAGCAAAGGACGACAACAACCCAAAGGAAGTAGAGGAAACGAAAAGACAGGAAAAGCAACCTTGTTGCCTCCCCTTTTGGCCACTCCTGCTCTGCTTGTCGGACATATCTATGTGCTTCTGCGCGCGCATGTGGGCGCCGCGTTTTTTTTTCTCTGGGATGTGGCTTCTTTTGGGTCCCATTGACGTTTTTTTGCCTTTTTTTTTTGTCACGCCCTCCCACTCTCCCCCACCCCGCACTGCCCGCACTGCCCTCTCTCGCCCTCCTTACTTACCCTCTTCTGCGTTTCCTCAGTGCCGCGCCTGCTTTCTGTCTCGGGACGCAAGCCGACAGGGGGGAAAAAACACACACAAACAGACAAAAAAAGAAGAAGAAGAGACGCAGGCAGTGGCCACAATGAGGAAGTTGTTTCTCGCCGCTGCCGTCCTCGCCCACGTCGTTGTCCTCTTCGCGTGCCTCTCGCCTCGCGCCGCGCTTGCGGCGGACCCTCCCACCCCCAGCTGGGGCCGGGACGGCTGCCACGCGGGGTTCAAATTCTGCGCCAACGTCACGACGAAGGAGACGTGGTCGGCGGACGGGAAAAACATTTACTTCTTCCTCGACCTCGTCGTGGATGGCACCGACGTGAACATGGCCAACACAACCGTGTGGTACGTAGGCGACAACTTTGACCTCGGCTGGGCCACGGACCTGAGCAAGGCGTCTTTCAACGTCGTGCGCTTCTCGCCGCGCGGCTCCGAGTTCGCCTATCCCCAAATCACCTGCAACCCGGACTACTACAGCAGGGAGGCCCAGTGCCTGCCGAACGCCTCCTGCGCGGCGGAGATTGCCCGCTCTGGCCTCGACATGGCCCACTACTCAACGACAGAGACGGCAAACGACCTCGTGTGGGTACTGAAGACGCTGGGCAAAGGGAGGCAAAATGTGTTAGTGTCAGAGGGGCTTGGCAACCTCGTCGTGCAGCGGGTGATGGAGAGGGGAGATGGCATGAAAAACGTCTCTGTCGTCATGGCAGGCTTCACGCATCCCGAGTACTTCGACGTCTTCACGAGCATCGGTGGCTACGACGGTGCACTGCAGCGACTCCTGGCGTTCTGCGAGGAGGATGGATCCATGCTTTGCGTCTCTCGTGTGGGTGCGTTCGAGGGGATGTGGAACCGCGTCGTCAACGTCATGAAGGCGGCGAAGGCGAATACGCTGCCGTGCAACAGTCGTCTTGACTGGGGGGTTGCCCCAAAAGACATGCACCGCGAATACATCACCGTTCTTGCCACACTGCTTAAAAAGCCCCAAAACTTTTTGATGCCAAGTGAGTGGAGGTTGCCCCAGCTGATACCGTCTTTTATTTATCGTCTACAGCGCTGCACGGAGGGGGATCAGGCGGCCCTGAACAACCTGTATGCCTTTCTTCACTCAGGCCCGCGAGCCCGCTGCCCACCGTTTGTGCCGCAGCGCTACAACTGGCTGGTGAACGAGCTGACCCTCATCCGCCCACCACTGCCGCCGGGGGAGCTCTTTGCGGAGACGTCGAAGAATCGACTGGTGCTGCCAATCCCAACGCTGTGGCAAAAGATGTATGAGGTGTACAACGCGTACCCAAAGTACGATGCCACGCCAGCTGTTGTCGCCGCCGCGAAAATGCCTTTGCTGCTGTTGCCCTCTGACATTGACCCCGTGTTTCCGTTTGGTATGGCGGCGTTGGCTTCCACCGGCTACGACGCCACGGTCCGTCTTCTGCCGCACCAAAGCAGCTTCCCAGTCGCCGCCAGCGCCTCAGACTGCGTCAAGCAAAATCTCATTTACTTCCGCGCCCACCGGGCCTGGGCGGATGCAGGGCGGTGCCAGGTGGATGGGTCGTACAAACTGGACTTCATTCACTTTGACGCCTACGAATTTTACCGGGTGGGTGATGCGTGGGAGTTTACGACGCCAAACACGCCGGAGCCCACGGCAAACGCCTCCACGACGACCACCACAGCCGCCCCGCATGCGCCTGGGGCGAAAAACTGCTCCAATAGGGCGGTGAGCGTCCTCACGGTGCTTTTCTTGCTGGCGGTATTCGGCCTTGCTGGGCTATCGTATCTGTACTGGAGGAAGACGCAGTCGTTTAGGTTGTCGGACGATTTCTACAGCAATCTGAACCACTAACCGAGCGGAGGGCTGCGAGAGCCGCCCGCTCTTGCCGCGGGTAGAGGGCGGGGTGGGAGTAGACCATGAAAAAAGAAAAAACAACAACAGCAAGGCAAAAGCAAAAGTAGGCGCAGTGCGTAATGGTGCGCCGTGCGCCTCCACCCGCCCCAGCAACAAACAGGAAGCAAAACAAAAACAAAAAAGGCGAAAAAAAAAACAGAGTGGAGGGAGTGTTGGTATTTTACCGTCTGGGGCTCAAGGGGGTGGAGGGGAATGAGTCGGTGAAGTTTGCCGCAGTGCGATGCACCGATGCAAAAGTTGAGGTGTGAAGCAACAAAGGCAAAAACAACAGGAGTAAAAAAAAGAAGAAGGGGTGAAGTGGAAGTGAGAAAACGACTAACCGGAATGAGTCACAGGCGGGGAATGCGTACTGGGTGCGCCGGCCCCCTGTGGTCTTGAATTCTTCTTTGCGGTGCGAGTGCGTTCTACAATGTGTTCTACGGGCCTCTCTCGGATTTCTCTCTCCCTTTCTCGCCCCAACTTGACTGCCTCCTCGTGGCGTCGGGGTTGTGACGTTTTCTCCCACCCCGCCTCATGCTTTTTTTTTTGCTTAGTTTTGTCAACGCCTCTTGGTCGACGCCCATGAATACACGGCCGGAGAATGCGGCGGTGGTTCCGCAGCCCTCAAAGCGGGCTACACGGTATTCGGCGGAAATGGTGAAGCTGCTGTGGATTATGGACCGAACGCCTTCCTCAAACTGGGCCTCCCTTTCGACATCGCTGTCGCAGCTGCTCAAGTGCATAGAAAGCAATATTGAGGCGGCTGCCGAAGTTGTGCCAGATCCTTCGCTGCTCTGTCGCGTCATTTGGAAGTGCTTTGACCCACAGGGTGTAATGGGCGTGCATCGAAAAACCCTTGACGTCTTGCAGCGCCTCTGCCTCTGCGCGGGGACCTCCATGCTCATACAGCGAATGCCGCTGTTGCTCGTTGGCGTGCTTGAGCTCCTGCCTCAGTGCTCTATTCAGGTCAAGGGAGAGTTGCTGAATTTTGTGGAGGTTTACATGCTGCGCACACTTCCCCCTGCGGTCGTGGCTGTAGAGCTGCCTGGAATCCTTTCAGGTGTATTGGGTGGCCTGGAGGAAAGCGACACAAGCGACGTGTATCGTTCTACCCTTCAAATAATGGAGACCATTCACGCAATGCTAAATAGTGCGTCGATAGTAACGCCTTTGACCTCGAGTGAAAGCGGGGAAATCGGGCGCAACCACCACGAGCAGGGGACTTTGTTAGAAGACAGTGTGGCGGGGAGTGGCGACCGGCACGTGTACGCCGCACTTTGGTTGACGCTGAAAAATTGTCCGTCGCTGCGTGGTTGTGTCTTGTTGTACATGAAGCTGCGCTTGTCTGGGGAGGCTCCACACGCCCACACCGGCAACCGTGGCGCTCTCGCGGTGGAGGGCGCAGACGGGACCGTGGAACAGCAAAGACACAGTGGCGTGGTTGCATCCGTGGCGCCCTCGGTCGTCCTTGCCGGCGATCTCCGTGTTGCTCACAGCGCTATTTTTGCCACTTTACAAGAGCCGAGCGAGCGAAAGCATCGGCTCATGCTGGATGTCCTCATCGGCGCCGTACCACTGGGCGACCAAGCATCATTTACATTTTCTGAGCGTTCCTTGTTGGTGGCGGCGGTGATTCAGCTGCTGGGCTTTCCAGATGTTAGTATTAGCATTCGTCGACGCATCGCGGCGTGGTTGACGGGCCCCGTCCCCGAAGCGGCTTCTGCCTACGTGCAGGATGTGTCCTCCTTTCTTGTGGCCCAGGCGTTTCGGAGGGTCGTTCGCTGGTGGGAGTCCCAGTTCCTTCCCACCGAAGTGCAGGATACTCGAACACACGCGGACCCGGTAAGTCCTCTGGAGGAGTCCTACTACCGGGTCTTATTTACTTCCGCATGCAAACACTGCCTTTCCCCGCTTGACCCCGCTGCAGCTGCGACGACACACATCGACTTGAGAGAAGCCTGTGTGATGCCGACTGTCTGGCTACGCGCCTTAGTGGGTCTTTTTCGGCACATCTTTGCGCCCGATGGGGTCAATAATGGCGACGACGACGATAACGACGCTATCAATACGAATAACGGTGGGTTTTACTGCGGCGACTGCCCCAGCTGCGCCGGGGTGTGTGACGACGACGCTGATGGCCCCTCCAGGGCGACGGGAAACCCTTTTTTGGAGTACGTGGCTCCTTTGGTTATGCCTTTTGTGTGTGATTTGCTTGCTTCCATGGAACTGTGGAGACGCGAACGGCCCCGACAGAGCGGCTCCATTGACCCCGTCCTCAATGCGCTCTTTGCGGTGGTCACGTGGGATTACTTTACCCGCTACGAGCATGACCTGGTGAGGGGACTGGAGCGGTGCTTGGATGGCTTGCGGGAAGTGCCCGCTTCTACCGCGGCGGCCAGCGGCGTGGGGGAGGCCCCGGAAGGATTGGGTGTGGCTGAGGCCACAATCAAATCCCCGTCCCCCGATGCGCACGCCAAACTTCTATTGGAGTTGCAGACCTGTTTTCGCCGGCTAGGCGGCTTCGCCACAGTTGTGGGGCTGCACGTGATGGCACTGGTGGACCAGGACCTGGAGCGCACCGCCGCCTTTATTCACGGTGTATTCGCAACGTGTCAATCGCTCTGCGGCGTCGTGCAGGGTGCGTGCGAGACGTTGTTGGCGCACGGCACCACTGGCGACGACACGGTGCGTTTCTCCCTTGCCCAAGTCTTGATTAATGGGAGCCTGGATGCTTTCAACTTTATTTTCTTCGGCGTGTTCTCAGCCTTGCAGGACCGAATGGAGTTGACCGGGAAAGGTGCCGTGTTTCGGGGGAGGGAGGCTGCATTGCTGGATGCCATGATGCGCGGCGCCGTCGCCATGGCTCAGCTCGTCTTGCGCGGGGGTGACGGGTGTGCGGAGACGCTGACGCGCCTCAACGACACCGCCTTCTCCCTGCTTCAACTCTCGCTGCAGTCGGGCAGTCAGCCTTCATCTTCCGACAGCCTCTCTGGCCTCTGCACGGAGATGTTGGAAAGGTGGGTGGACGCCGTTGCCTCTGTGGCAAGCTCCACCTGCCTTGCCGTGCAGCAGCACGCCTTTCGGCTGTACGTGGACCTGCTAAATTCAGTTGCGCCACCGCAAGCACTACCGGGTGCCATCTGCATGCAAGAGTTGATGCTGAGGCTGTTGCCACGCCTCTGGGAGTTCTTGGGCACTTGCAGCACAGAGATGCAACCGCAGGTTGTGGAGCTGCTGGTTCGCCTGTACGCCACGAAGGAGTGTCGGGACATTCTTGACGAACTCACAAGCGTGGCCACCACGGAGAACGGGGAACGCCTGCTGCTGCTGTTCCGCTTATTGGAAGAGGAGAATGTCGCGGAAAGTTTGTTTCGGCCCGGCTTCTTCATGATGCTTTGCGCCCTGGACGACAAGGACGCCTCGCTGCGACGGCTGTCCCAGTCCATCGTGCGCCAGTCAATTCCCTGCCTTGACCGCGTGCTGAATCCGTTAATTGACCGTCTCGCACAGTATTTCATGCCCCGTGGCACGGCGGAGGAAGTCGCGGTGGCTGAGCAGGCGAACTGCACTGCCTCCCTCCCCAGCAGTCACCTATTGCAGGAGCAGGCGACGAAGTGCTTGGGTCCAATGGAGTTTATTCGTCTTGTGAAGGCTGTATTGACCGTCCCGTCGTTTCTTTCCCTGTTCCTCGGTCGGCTGCACGCGATGCAGCCACCTGCAGGCTCCCGAGCGTTGATGGCGGCTGTCTTGCCAAGCCCCTCAGAGGACCGAAGTGGTGAAGAGCGAGAGGTGGAGATGCCTTTGGATTCCTCTTTTGCGGTGCTTGCTGGCCTGCTTTTGGGCATCGTGCGTCGGAGCCTCCGATCGCAGTGCGGCGGGACCGGGGGCGACAGCCCGCGTCTGCGCGTTGAGCTCTGTACGGAGGCATGCGAGGCACTAAACCTGATGCTGGAGGGGACGCTTTCCCTCCCCGACGTGTCAGAGACAATTGTGCGCACGTGGCACTGTACCTCGCTGCACATGCTGGATCTCCTCCGTGTGGTGGTGCGGCGATCACCGTTTGCGGGGGTGCAGGTGTTGATGCTGCGGCACTTCTTGGACGCCGTGCGCCTGCTGGACGCCTTGGACCCAACCGCTACGACCTTCCCCCGTGACCCCTCTGCATGCGTGCTGGCCAAGGCGCCTCCCCAGGTCGGGGCCTCAGCAACGGTGGCGGACGAGGCGGAACGAGTCAGTTCTCACAACTGCATTCTGGCACTTAAATTGCAAAAATTTTACGATACAGCTTCGGACGGTGTGGAGCGGGCTGCGGCCGCGGCTCTGACCTCCGGCTGGGCTGTCGATGACCTCCTTTCCATGTGGTGTGGCGCGCTGCTAGAGCTCCTGCCCTTTTTCCACGAGCAGCGCGATGAGGCGTTGGGGCGCCTCTTGCATGTATTCATCCGGGTGATTGATGAGCTGCGGCTGCAACCCGCTTCTCCGACAGGGTCGGCCGCCGCACGAGTGGTCGAGAAGTGCCTGATGAGCATTTATGGTATACTGAAGTTTCACCTTGCCGCGGAGAGGCAGACGCTTCAGTGCCACGCCGCTGGGAAGCGCGTCCCCGTGGGTTGGTTTGCGGCACATGTTCCAATCCTTAGCGGCGGCGGGGGTCCCTCGGCTGCGCAGAAGGCGGCGGGCTCAGATGCGGCGCCCTACGAAGCCGTGCGGCGTTCTATACGGCCTGTTTTGTCAACACTGTGCAAACTGCATTGTAGCGGGCATCAGGCTCGGCTCGCCGCGGGTGCGGCTGGGGGCGAGCGGCAAAGCGGCGGAGCCTATGACCGTGTGCCGGCGTCGCATGCGGAGAGTGGCATCCATCGCGTGCTACGGTTGTACGCCCAAGAGCTGGGGGCCGAGTTCTACAAGGCATACATAGAGGTCTGGGCCGCCCGCCACGCCCGCCCGTGGGAGACGCTGTTCACGCCGTCAAAGCCTACGCCGTCGGAAACAGCAGGCAGGCACTCGTTGCAGGGCGCCAGAAACCGCAGGAGTCAGTTGTCCCCCTTCACGGTGTCAGGTGGCGACGCAGCATCGCCCGCTCCGTCCTCGCTCAGCGATCCGGAGCTGCTCGCCCAGTTACTGAATACAGCAACTGGGATAGCCGCGTTGCCGCTGGTTCACGTTGTCGAAGAACTCTTGGTAAAGCAACGCTCGACCGCGACGAATACTTCCGCTGCGTCCTCCCGGCACCACGCGTTGGGGGCGGAGATGCCATTTGATGCTGTCGCGTTTTGCTTTTTGCACACCTTTCTGTGTGCGTGCCGTGTGCCTCCCGGTGACGCCCAGGAGGTGCTGAGTGCGTTGATTGGGGTTGCCACGCTGCACCTCTCCCAGGGATCCCCGTCACTCGTCTGCTTGCCACTCATCGTGCAGGTTCTCGCTCACTTTGTGTTGGGCCACTCGCTTCTGCAGTCGCCGGCCTCTTCCTCGTTGTGCGGCAGTGACGAGGCGGGCCGGGTGGAGTGGGGCAGGGACAAGCGTTGCGCTCAGATCATATGTAAAGTGTTGGACGCCTTATGTACCGCGGCGTCGCACACCGCCCCACCGCAGGCGGAGCTGCTGTTTGCGTTCCGGGTGCTTGCCGTCTCCCTCCCGGCGCTTGCCTGCAGTGCCCTGCTGGACCAGGACCGCATAGCGAACGCCGTCTTGAGTTTCTACAAAAGGTCTCTTCTCCCCAGCATCATGTTTGGCGTCGACGCACAGACAGACGCGGAGACGCGCGCCCGCACCCCGCTCGTGAAGGCAGCGCTGTCTGTGTTGCAGGTCATCGTAAAGTTTGGCGACGCCATCTCACGGCGGCTTCGGCAGGAGTTGCTTGACGCCCTCTGCACCTGCGACTTCTTTCGTTTTCCGCAGAGCGTGGTACATGAATGGGGCGTCATCTTTGAGTGGCTGTCGCAGGATCGGACATTTCACGGGGACGCCGTGCAACTCCTGGCGCCAGCGTCCTCTCATTCCAGCCGCATTGTGGCGTTGATTCAATCCGCGGAGGAGGAGGAGCGGCAGCGTGTGCGCCAGGCAAAACGCCTTGTCTTTTACGTGACATGTGTGCCGCCCGCCACACTGATGCTGGACAGGGAGTTTTGCCTTTTGCTTCGGGAATGCATCGCGGAAAACCTTCGCGCGTTTCACTCCGCGGCGTCGGGGAGCGCCGTCAGTAAGTCCGGCTCCGGCTACCGCTCTGTGCGCCACGCCCTCTTCCTTTTCCGTGTCCTGCTGACGAAGCTCGACCCTGCCCTGCTGCATCCGTTCTGGCCAATTGTCCTTCCCGGCGTGCTCCGCGCGCTCTCCCTTCCCTCCCCGGCGGGCGACGCAGCGCCGGCGGCGGCTACAGCGCGAGCCCCGGACGGGGAGCTCTTGGCGCTGCAGATGGAGTGCCTTAAGCTGCTCGACTTTTTGGTGGTGATTATGCCCGGCACATTTGCCCCGTTCCGTTGGGTGTTTTTCGACGATTTGGATGCCGCTGCCACCCTCGCGCCGTCTGCTGCGACAGCGGCGTTTACGCCTTTAGTGCATCACCTGGCACCGCCTCCGCGGCCACGCGCGGTGTCGCTCCACGACGTTTGGGCGCCTGCGGTATTCTCCTCTGATGCCTTTGCCGTGTGGGGGGGATACCAGCGGCCTCTCCTGCGCTTTCCGCCTGTGTGCTACAGCAAACTGCCGGGAATCGGCGCGTGTGCCGGAGCGCTTTCCCTGTTCTCTTACTCTGCTGGTTTGCTGACGACGGCTGGAACGCATGAGCAGACGTCGTCGTCTTTAGTTGCGTCTACGCGACTTATCGATGGCTGGGACGAGGCGTACGTGCGCGCGCTCGTGGAAGCGGACTTCTCTTGCGTCTTGGAGGAGAACGTCTTCGCTTCTCCCTCTTGCTAAGGCCTGGAGAGGCCGCTGCATAAATGTGTGCCCCGGCTTTTGGAAGGCTGTGAGTGTGGGGATCTGCTTTTTCGTTTATGTTTTTTTCTATCCCCGCTTTGTGCAGTTGTTGCGGTATTTTTTTTTAAATCTGCCTTGTTTGTGTGTCGAGCGTGTGGTTTTTTGCCTTCCCTCCTCCCTCTGGCCTGCAACCGCGAGGGGGCGACTCCTTCTCTTTCGCTCTCTGCATGGGTGTGCCTGTCGAGTGTGGCTGTCCCACCCACTGAAACTTTCCCTCCGCCTTTTTTTTATTGCTTTTGCGCATCTGCACAGTCGTGTTCGGCCTCTCCCCGTCTCTGCCGTACGTGGCGTGGGACCGATGGATCGTCGCAAGGGGCCCGCTACTGCCGCGCTTGGCAGCAGCGGCAGCGGCGGCGACGAGCAGCCCGGGCAGAGTGTACAGCAGCAGCAGCCGCGGGATGCGGCGGGGAGGGAGGGCGCCGAGGAACCCGGCGGCGCCGGGCCCGAGCGGCAGCTGTTCTACCACGTGAAAATGAACGAAATAACGAACGCGCTGCTGGTGCCGGCTGAGATGCTGTCTGCGAAGCTGCAGCCGAGGACGTCCCTCGCTGCCGCGGAGGGATATGCAGCCTCGCAATTGGGCCGCGAGGAGGAGGGCGACCACAGCAGCGTCAGCAGCAGAAGCACCGGCAACGGAAAGTTGTGTGAGGCGATGCCCGCCAGCTTCTCGGCGCGGCCCAACCGGGGCTGCAACACGCTCAAGGCGTCTCTGCTGCAGTCCCCAGAGAACACGTATTACGTGGAGGACACCCTTGTGATTGGTTCCATGGGCAGGCGAGGTGGTTTAGTTGAGCGCGGCAACTCCGCTGCCAACGAGCAGCAGCGACAAGGCAGCCTAACATCCCCTGCGCGGGAGCCTGCTTCCAGTCCTCCGATACCCATTAAAGGCCTACCGCTTCCCGTGGTGCGCTCCCCCTTGTCATCGTCGTGGGGGCAGGGGAGCGAAGTGCCGTGCGGCTCCTCCCTGCGGGGGGTGACGTTTCATGTGCAACGACCGTCCCGAGTCGAGCGCGGCGTTGATAACTCCTCGGGGGACAGCGTGAGGCTTGAGGAGCCGCTGCTCGCGGAGGAAGTGAGTGCTGGAAAGAAGTCCACCGTGAAGAAGAAGCGGGTTCACTTTCCTGATAATGTGATCAAGTCCGTGTCGGTTGTCCAGGCAGACGATCAGCTACGGCTGCTTGTTGAGTACAACCGCCCGTGGTACGCCCACCTCGTACTGGTGGTGGCGAGCGCCTTCTTTGTCCTGCATTGGGGCTTCATCGCGTTAGTCACGAAGCCGTCGCCGCCCTCAGAGCGCATGGCCGCCTGCGCCGTCGTCTCATTTGTGGCGTTTGGCTTTGCCTCGGTTTACCTGTTGGCCTTTTTGGCGCTGACGTGGCGACCCGACAGGGATGAGTTGGAGTTTTTGATTGATTTTTCAAGAAATCGCCCGGTGATTTACGTACTGCTCGCCGGCGTTGCCTCGCAGCTCTCCCTCGTCGCCGCATTTATGTTCTGCGGCAGCATTGGAAGCCTCGTCTGCTTCTGCTGCATCCCGCTCGTCCTGACGTTCCTGTACGAGGAGTACAAGCAGCACGCCGTGTCTGTGCTCGACGGCATCGGGTGCATCCTCGTCGTCGGGTCCATCGTTGTCTTCTGCGTCGGCATTGAGCTCGAGAACGAGACGGAAATGTACGAGCGCATCGTGCCGGTTTGCATCGCACTCGTGGGCGGTGCGGCCATGGCGTTTTTCCTGTTTCAGGTGCGCACCGTGAGCCGCTCCGTGAGCAACTTGCTCGTCATGTCGTCCACCATCACCCTGGCGACGCTGCTGCTCCTCCTCGTCGTGTACGTCACGAGCGCCTTCACCGCCCGCATCGGCGCCTCCCACCAGACGCTGACGCAGATCTCCTCCGCGGACTTCCTCAACATCATCCTCGGCGCCCTCTTCCTCTTCCTCTCGTGGTTCACGTACCACTGGAGCTCCCTCTTCTTTGACCGCATGACCCTCTCCGGCAGCTTCTCCCTCGGCGGCCCCATGTCGCTGCTCGTCTTCCACCTCCTCTCGCTGCCGACGGCGTCGCTGCCGTACGAGGTCGCCGGCGGCGTCGCCATGGTGATTGGCTGCGCGCTGGTGCTCTACTCCGGCTACCGCTTCCGGCAGAACGTGGAGGTGCGGATCGAGCTCGAGCGTGAGTAGCGCCGCCAGCAACGAAATTAATTGGTGGCGCCGCGCGGCAAACAAGCCTTGGAACGAAGTAACAGAGTAAAAGCAAAAAAAAACACAAGCAAAAACTTAAAAAACAACAAGTCATTTGTTATGACTCCCTCTTCACTGCCTATTCCTCTCTCGGTTCCCCTCTGTCGATCTGAAGCGTGTGCCCAAGCAAGCGTCGCTGATTTTTTGCATTTTCACCGCTCTTTTCTTTCCCGTTTTTTTTTTGTTGTTGGAGGCTTCATTGCTCTGTTTGACTTGCTTTTTTTTTTGACCCTTTCCCCACCCACCCTCCTTTCCGTTCCATTTTTTTTTTTGCTTGTTTCCTTCCTTGCATGTTGATGTATCGCCAGCGTTCGGTTGAGATCAGCAGAGGCAAGGGAGGGGGGGAAGCAGAGGAAGGTGAAGAGGGAGAGAGAGAGTGTGTGTGTGTGCGATACACATCCACGCATTTACGCATACGTTCAGACGGAGGTGCGGCGGTAGCAGAGAGGAGGAAGCAATGGAGGAGCTTCTGGAGCGGGAGATTGAGGATCTCAAACAGCAGCAGCAGCAGCTTGAGCGGGAGCTGCTGGCCATGGATGAGTTAAGCAGCTGCACACAGAGTGGCAGTTTTGTGCTTGCCAGCGTGCCTCAGACAACCCCGGCGGGCGCTGCTGCGGGTGGTGAGGACGACGGCGCAGCTGGCGAGGGTCTGCCGCTGGGCGAGCGGATGGCGCAGCTGGAGGAGATGCGGCGGCGTTACCAGCGGGAGTCGAGTAGGGCGCTGCAGCGCTATTTTGACGTGGTGAGCGGCTACCCGCAATATCAGGCGAAGCGCGAGCGGCTGCTCAGCAGTGCTCGCCCCTTTTCCTTTGAGTCGCGGGAGCTGCAGAAGCAGCAGCGGATACGAACACGCCGGAGGGAGGCGGAGCGATGGCAGCGGGAGCAGGCGCTGCAGCAGACGCTGAACCACCGCTTCAGGGCAAGTCCTGTGCCACCCTCTACGTACATGAACAAGTACGATCTCATGGTGGAGGAGTGGCGCCAGCGGCGTGCCGCGGTGGAGGCTCTGGCTGTTGAAAAGGCCGAGCGGATGCGGGCAGAGACGGAGTTGGTGCGCCTCTCTGCGGAGAGCATGCGCCAAGTTCGTGAGATTATGGGCGTGCGGCAGCACGAGACGAGGGCGAGGAGCGCGGGGTTGGAGGCGCGGGACCGTCGGCGTGTGGAGGAGCTGCGCGAGATCCCGCTGGAGGTGAAGATGAAGCTGTGGCCTGCGCTGGAGGAGCACGAGCAGGTGCGGGTTGAGCGCATCAAGCAGCGTGCGGCCGCGCGGCTGACTCTGCTGAAGGAGGAGGAGGAGGCCCGGCGCGCTGCCATGGTCGAAGTCACCGCCCACGCGCAACAGCAGCCGCCGCAGCCACCGGTGGTGCCCGTGGCTGGACCCGTCGGGGCAACCGCCGCGTCTCCGGCCGCGCCGCAGATGATCATGGTGGGCAATGCCCCAGCAGCGACAACAGGAGGAGGAGGTGTGACGACCACGCAGACATCCGTGCCAACGCCGGTGGCTGCAACAGGAGCGGCGATTGCTGAGAAAGGCGCGGCGTCTGCCGCGCAACAGTCACTGAAGCGACGTGAAAAAGGCAGTGACCCGACGAAGTACAATCGCAACTTGACATTCAAGCCGAAAGTGCGTGGCGGCGTGCCCGACTTCAACACCATGTGGGCCGAGGATCGCCTGACGATGGCGGAACGAAAGCGGAAGTTGCAGCTGACAGAAGTGCAGCCCTTTAATCTGACGCGCTCCTCGAAGGAAGACGCCGTCAGGGGGCGTTCGGCGTTGCCAGCGAGGCGGGTTATGTCAGCCACACGCCGAGGGCAGAGGTGCAGGTCCACCACGAGTGAGGTGAAACCCACGCGGCCGACGTCGCGGGCATCGCGAGAGGTGAAGAGGATTGTCCCCAAGGGGACTCGCGCCCATGCGGTACGCACGCAGGCGGTGTTTAGCAAGTACCTTGGCGCAGCCGAGGCAAATGCGGCCTGCGAGAGCGCCCGGGATGAGCTCACGGCCCTACACGAAGCCTGGGAGCGACAAAAAGTTGTGAACACACGGTTGAAGGAGTACCTGAAGGGGACTTCCGTGAACACGGACGCCATCATTAAGGAGAAGGTGCGAGCACTGCGACGACGAGACCGTGAAATGGAGCGAGAGGCCATAGAACGACTTGGAGAAATGCAAAGACGTGTCGCCCAGATACCACCCATTTTTGTAGAACCCACGCATTTGAACGAGCTCGCGAAGGCCCGTGTGGAGACGGAAAAGGAGATCATGCAGATGCTAAAGGGGACAGGCGTGGACGTTGGGACTCTCACGGCCATACTGAGTGGCGACGGTAAAGAGGCCGTGGACGGCGGCGGGGCGACGACTATAGAGACAACTAATAGTCCTACTGTTGCAGGGGGCGCGACGGCGGTGGGGCCAAAAAATGAAGAGGCGTCGAAGGCGGGCGGGACCTCCACGTCGCAGGAGCCAGCGACACGGAAAAGTAGAATCTCTGGTAGCGACACTCGTAGTGACACTGACACTAGCAGCAGCAGCAGCAGCAGCAGCAGCAGCAGCAGCAGCAGCAAGGCTGCGGTCCGTAAAGGGAAGGCTGGCTACGAGGATGATTTTGAGGTCAGTTCGGGCTCTTCGACGGCATCGGTATAATAGAAACTCCATACTCTTTTTTAAAAAAATTTTATTGGGTTTGTTTTGCTTCCCTTCCTCTCTCTCATATACATTGGTTTTGCGTCGAAGCCCACGATTGGGCGTCATAACAAAAAAAACCCATAGAAACCAGACATATGCAGCACAACGAGTGCGCTGAGTTTTGCGTGCCTGGGCGTTTTCTCTTTTCGGGGGCGGGGGGATGCGCGAAGGAAGCGGGAAACGATCGAGGGTCCTCCGGGCTAAATAGACCGGGAGCGGGCGAAAAAGTGAGAACGATAGAAGGAATTGGGGGAGGCTTTCCCTTTTATGTGTGTGTGTTGTTTTTTTTTTCGTCCCTTCATCGTCGTTTTCACTCAAGTGGCAGATGCAGTTGTCTGCCGCGCCGGACCGCGCTGAGGCTGTCGCCGCTGCTTCTGTTTGCGGGGACGCGCGCTTTCAGCTGAAACCAGGCAGGCCGGGGGTGGTGCTTAAACTCTGCGGGAGCGATCCGCGCCGTGCCCGCCTGGCTGGCGGCGGCGGCGGTGGTGGCGGCGGTGGCGGCAAGAGACCGCGCGATTGCCGTCAGCCCGGCGGTGCGGGGGATGACACGTCAAGGGGTGCGGCTGCATCTGTTCTTCGCGGCCTCCGTGGCGCCGCTGCGGGACCGGTGCAGGGTGTGGAGCTGCGGCACGCAGAACTCACCGCGATTCACGTGGCACCGGAGTTCAAGGACGCAGGTGGGCAGTTGGGCGAGGCAAATGAGGGCGCCATCACCCTTTCAAACGTCGTTTCTTTGAAAATTTTCGCCGGCCTGCACACGCTGGACCTGGAGTGCAATCGCCTCGGCGACGACGGCATTACACGACTTTGCTTGTGGTGCCTGCCGCAACTGCGTTTTCTGAGGTGCTTATTTCTGGCCAGCAACGAGTTTGGTGTGCCAGGCCTGAGGGCTATTGTCAACTACGTGGAAGGGAAGCTAGCTGCAGTGCATGCAGCCACGCCGTCCACGCCTTCCAATGCTAGTCCTGCAGGAAGGCCGCAGCCAATTGAGGCTGTTGGCCTCACAAACAATCTGTTGTACTCCAACAAGCCCGAGGACGAGGGCGCCACGGTCTTACTGGCCCGTCTACTTCAGGCCTGTGGAAAGTCGCTGCGACGGCTGCATTTGAATCATGTTGGAATGCCGACGTCAGCCGCGGCGACGATGATGCAGCTGTGCTTTGCAGGTGATACGGAGCGGGCAGAGGGCTTTCCCTACCCGCAGCTGGTGATATACCTTAAGCAGAATGACATTTGCAAGGAACTACTTCATTCGATGCTGCGAACCCTGGGCGTGAGTGCAGCTGCGGGCAGGTTTGTCGTGTAAACCACCTTCCCTGCCTCTGGGACGCTCAGAGTGGACGGAGGGGGGCCAACAGAATGCGACTGACTCTGCGTCTCTGCGTCTGTGTGGGTGGAAAGAGGAGAGAGGGGCGTTGGGTCTCTTTTTTTTTCTTGTTGTTTATTTCTGTGTTGTGGCTGTTGTTGCTTCGGAGCCTCCTCCTCTCCACGCCACTTGCACTGCTGGGCCAATAGGGTGAGGGGAGTGAGGCGCAGCGAGGGGAACGCACACACACACACACACACACACACGCCGGAAAGGAAACGGCACAGGAGAAGACAAAAAGCCGATAGACGACGTAGCAAGCACTGGCGAAGAACACCGCCGCGACAAAAAAAAAATAAATAAATAAAAATGGCCGCCTCAATTCAGCAGCCGGCGCTAATTTACACCAGGGACGACGCGGTGGAAATATGGGACGAGGCCGACGACGCGTTGCCTTTTTTGTACCTTGACTTTGAGGACGAGGAGGACGAGGTTGGGGGGAGGGGGCAGGGATCGTCCCTGGAGAGGCGTCTGCTTTGCTCCTCGGTGGTAGAGGAGGCGCCGGGGCCCAACGCCCACGACGAACCCGGGGTGTCGTACAACGAGGCCCAAGGGACCACTGCAGGCGGAGGCCGAAGAAGCAGGAGACCGTTTCGTTCTCACTTGCCGCCTCTGAGTGAGCCGTGGCGTTTTTGGCAGTTGATTGTGGCTGCCTTGTGCTGCGTGGTGATCTCCTCGTCCTACACGTATAACCTTTACAATGGGCGGTTGCAGTCCAAATACAACTTTACACAGAATCAAATGACGACGATGGCAACGATTGGCGACATGGTGGGGGTTCTCATCTTACCTTTGGGGGCCCTTTACGACCGCTATGGGACGCAACCCATCTTTATTGTCGCCTTGACGTTATTTCCATTTTCTGGCGTTTTATATGGTTTGACCTTCGCAGACGCCCTTAACGGCTCCATTGCGGCATTCGCCGTTTACGGTTGTATGCAGTCGCTGGGGACCGCCTTGCTGGACGTGGGTGCCGTGATGACGATGCTCTCTATATTTCCTGCCGACAAGGGGGCAGTTGTGGCTGTCATGAAAACTTTTTCTGGGATGGGGTCTGCCATTATTGGCGCCATTCACTTGGGTTTTTTCCCGGCTGACAACGACAGCGACACCAGTCGCTTTTTCTACTTTCTCGCGGTCCTGGGTATGGTGGCTGCTTTTCTCGGCTTCCTCTTTGTGGAGGTACCGCCGTACATTATCAGAGGGAGCGAAGAGCAGGTTCTGACGGGGGCGCAGCGTAAGGAGCGGTATCGTATTCGGAGGCAGTTTTTAAGGCAGAAGGCCCCCGCAGCTCGGTTTGCCATTGGTTTTGCGGTGGTGATTATATTGACGTTTTTCCTTCCCATTCAAGGCGCCCTCTCGGCCTATATGGAACTGACGAGGGTTCATCATGTTGTCTTTGCTTGCATTTCCTTCGGCCTCTTGGCTTTTTACCCGATCATGGCACTGCCGTGGAAGGTGCTTGACCGGAATCTGCCGCTACCGCATGCAGGCAGCTTTTCAGGGCGGTCAAGTCACGTGGGCCGCTTCAGCCGCTTTAGCGTGGTGTCAAGGGATACGATGGACAGCATGGCGTTGGTGCGGGAGATGGACTACATTGCCCCGCAGTATCAAACAACGTTGAAGCAAAATTTAAAGACATTGCGGTTTTGGGCGCTGCTTTGGATGGTTTTTTCCGCGGCGGGAACCCAAATCGTGGTGATGGGAAACATGCGGTTCCTCTTCGGGGCTCTGGCGGGAAAGCCGCTGGACGACTCCTTTGTGGCGCTGCTGGTTGTGCTCATTGGCGTTGGTAGCGGGCTGGGCCGTATTTTGCTGAGCGGGCTGGAGGTGATGACGCAAGGTCGACCCGCGGAGGAGCGCACTCCTGTCACCTTCACGTTATTTGTCCCCTCCGTTCTCTCGGTGGTGGCGTTGGTGCTGCTGCTCGTGCTGCCAACACACGCGCTTCCTTTGCCCTGCTTTCTCATGGCCCTCGTCAATGGCTCCGCCGCCGCCGCAATCGTGATTGTCCTGCGCACCATTTTTGCAGCGGATGTTGCTAAACACTACAACTTCTGCTCCATCGCCGGCATCGCCTCCTCGCTGCTGATGAACCGTATGGTGTACGGCGAGTGGTACACGCGACAGGCGGAGAAGCAGGGCAGCACCTTGTGCTACGGCAAGCAGTGCGTCCTCATGCCCCTCTTAGTTTGTCTGGGGGCGTGCCTCTCCTGTGTGCTCGCTGTGGCCTACATTCATTGGGACTATTGCAGCTTTTGCCGCAAAATGCTCGAGTTGCGGGCGGAGAAGCTCGCCAGCCAAGTTTCCCACGCGGCAAATTATTCTGCTGGCAAAGGGGTTGGCACAAGCCACGGTGAAGCTGGCGCGGCGTTGGGCGAAGCGCGAAAGGTGGCGGAATCCACAGCGGGGACGTGAAGCTGGCGACGAACTCGTTTTTTTTTTGTTTCACTTCGCCCTTTTTTTTGCCCCCTTCTTTTCTCTCTCCCTTTTTTTTTTCTCTCCCCATTGTGTTTCTCAGGAGTCACGAGGTTCGTTGGGGAAGCCTTCAGTTGTTTACCTAAGCGCGTGTGATTTAGTTTTTTTTCTCCTTTTTTTTCTTTTGGTTTTTATGTGTGTGGTTGCGTGCCTGTCTCTCTCCTCTGTGTTGTGCATTACGCCTCTAACTGGACGCGCTGTGCGGGAGTGGGAGGGGGGAAGCGCGGCGAAAAACAACAAGCGCAAAAACGAAAGGAAGTGGCGGGCGGCGCCTGCGCCTTGGGGCGGAAGTCGGCTTCGCCCACAAGCGCATTATCGCCGCCGCCGTCGCCTTCCATGGGCCCGTTTTTATTCATTCACCGTGCAATTCGGGTTTTTTTTCTTTTTTCTTTTTTTCTCCTGTTTTTTTTCTTTTGTCTTTTTTGCCTTTGCGATCGATGCGGGATGTCTGCAGGCAAACCTGCAATGAGCCTGCAGAAACTTCGTGAGGCGCTGCTGCGTCACTCGCCGCCGCGACGGGCGTGCGGAGTGAAGGCCGCCAACGTTATTGTCGTTGGCAAGCGCATGGCCGCGGACGGGTGCGAGTCCATCGTTTCCCTGGCGAGCCCGCGGGCGGAGGAGCGGCGGCAGCGGCGCGTTGTCCTTCACGGTGTTGGCCCCGGCGACGTCATTCGGGCCCCGGCGCGCCACTTTGACTTCATCGTCGAGGAGCGGCGGCTGCCGGCGTCCGCGCAGCGCCGTCTGTGGCGGGGCCGCGGCGGGGGCGCGCGTGAGTGGGGGCGCCCCCGCGCCGTCGCGTGCGTTCACCACGCCGCGCCGCGCTCCTGTGCCCGGTGCCCTTGGATGGGGCTGGCGGCGGCGGCGTCGCGGGAGATAAAGGCGGAGCAGCTCCGCCGCGCCGTGGAGTCTGCGCTGCTTTCTTCTGCTCCTTCCCCCGCGACGGAGGGGCGGCCGGCGGGCTTGGCGCGGCCCCCGCCACCGGTGCGTTTTCTGGAGCCCTTCGATGTCCCCATTGTGGCGCACTCCATGCGCGAGGTGGAGTTTTGCTTCCGGAGGCCGTCCGACGACGAGGGGCTGCAGTCGGGTCTTGGGGAAGCCTCTTTCCCCGCCACGGGGAGGTTTTGTTTTTCACTAAGCGCAACGCACGCACCGGAGTGTTTTTTGGCCACGCCGGAGCAGCAGCGACTCCTTGTGGCCTTGAACCGGTGGGCCGAACGGCTTTCGCCACCCGTGCAAGAGTGTCTTCACACCGCTTTTATTTTGCAGACGCCGCAGGAAGGACTCACGCGCACGTGGGAGAGTGACCTGCACGTGACGCTGCTTTTGCGGCAGGATGCGGCAAGCTTCGGTGACTACGGCCCTTTGTGCTCTCCCTCACAGCCCGAGGGGATGCTTGCGCTGGCGGAACAGCAACTTGTGGATACGGTGCTCTCCGCAGTGCCCCTGACGAAGCGTCTTGGCATCGCCGCGGTTTGTAGTAATGGGTCCATCGCCTGCTTGTATCCACGTCCACGGCGTGTGGAGTTTGCGGTGGCGGCAAACGTTGCTGAAGTTATGGGGGTTGTACCGTGTGCTGCCGTTCATGGACCGTCAGGGAAGAGAGTGACGGCAAGTCTGCCGTTTGTGCACAGCACGGTCGCCGCCGCCCTTGGGTCGCGGGAACTGACACGCATTGACCTCTCATCCCCTTCTGTCTGGCGCCAGGCGATGTCGCCAGAGGCGGTGGGCTCCGTTTTACTCTCCCTCCTTGGGGACTTGCAGGGGGGCGGTGTTGTGCTGCTGCTTCCGGACCCCAGCCGCCGAGCCTCTGCGGAGGCGTCAAAACTCCCGCCGGCCGCGGGTTCACGGCTGTTGGCGACGGCGCTCTCGCAGTGGCTTGGCTGCGTCTCGACGACGGCTGTTGCGTATCTCGGGCGGGGTGGAGGGCGGGCGAGTGGGCAGGCGGCGGCGAATCACACCGGCTTGGACGCCGCGGTGTCCTCTGCGGGGAGCGATCCCGCGGCGCTGTTCTGCCTCCTCGACGGCGACACGGACGTGGAGGCGACGGTAAATGTCTTGCGGCACGGCGTGGCGGCGCTGCGTCACGAGCGGCCCCTCGTGCGCTCTACGCGGCTTGTGCTGCTGCAGCTTGCCGCCGATGGCGATTTTCGCCTCCTGGGAAGCGTCCTCCGCGGCGTCGTTGCCTGCGCGGAGGCGCAGTTTCATCTCGGCGTGGAGTGCGGCGTTGTGGACGTTGACCCCTGGAACGCCGCCGCCGCCGGCTACGCCCTGCTGCGCCTTGCGCCCCGCCCCGCCCCGTAGGCACGCCTCGCGCCCCCTCCTGCGCCGACGCACACACGCGCACGCCTCTCTCTCTCTCTATCTTTCTGTGTGTGCGCCGTGTCGGGCCGCCGCTCCGTGTTGGATTCCTCTTTCTCTCTCTCTCTCTGCCTTACACACACGCACACACACACACACACAAACCCTCTCTGCACACCTCCTCACGGAGCGAAGGAACCGACTATTCAGAACGGCAGCGCATACGCACAAGAAAAAAAAAGCTAACAAAAAATAAAGCAGACAAATAAATCTCGCTCTAGACCTGCAGAAAGCGAAATGTTGCGTCTGACACTTTTGTCCCGCCACACACCCCTCATTCGGTTCACCCATGCAATTCGAAAGGGGACCGTCGGCGTGGGGGGCGCCGCGGCTGCCGTGGCGATTCCGGTCTTGGACACCTTCGACGAGCTACCGGCGAGGTTCCAGCCGCACCTCTTCACGGAGGAGGAGATGGAGACTATCATGACGGGCGGCGCCACGCCCTACACGCCGAAGTCCCTCCAGCAACGCAAGGCGAAATAAATGTTTTTTTTTTTTTTTTTGCGTGTGTGGGTCACTCCTCGCTTTTTGTCGGAAGGAGGCGATGGGAAGAAGGAGGCGGCCATGTCTCTTATGCGTGCGTGCCGCTGGGCGCGCTGGGCCTGAGGGGAAGAAGAAGATGGGGAGAGGCGGAAAGGGACATGAACGTACAAATAAAGAGAGAGAAAAACAAAACAAAAGCAGGCCACACGTTGCTCGCCGCATGATACGACGTGTGGCTATTTTTTTTTGAGCGCGTTTGCTCTTTCATCTTCTTGTTTTTTTTTTATTGTTGTTGTTGTTCGCTTCAAAAATGACCTTCCTTGGGACCCCCGCCGACGCCCACGCCCCTGCTGCACATGCTGCTAGCGCCATGCAGCCGAGGTGGGTACCCTCCCCCCTTCCCCGCTCACTCTCTGTCTCTCTCTCTCTCACACACACGCACGCGTCGTGCGCGTGTACTGAGGTGTCTGCGGCACCGCCCCCCACTTGCACGCGCTCCACTTCTGCCTCTTTGCGTTTGCGGCTTTTGTTTTGCGGGAGGGGCGCATTCGGCCGGCTCCCACACACGTCGCACTGGGGTGCACACACGGGTGAAGGTGCCCCCCCACACACGTAGAGGAACAAAAGGAAAAGAAACTCGTCTCCAAGAGCGGTATAAGGCGGTGCCAAGGCAAAAGCCCAAGGGGATAGAGCGAGAGAGAAGAGCAGCTGTCACCAAGGAACGGCCCAAACTGGAAGAGGCGCATGGGGAGGACGAGACAATGAGCTCCAGGCATCGTGACCCGTGCAAGAGCCCTTCGTTGCGTGCCGCAACGCCGCGGACCCCGCGCCGAGCGCAACTGCGCGCGTCGTCAGAGTCAACCTCACCGAGGTGCAGCAGCGGCTCGGCGCCGGGCCTTATTGTGACGCGGGGTTTGTATAAAGTTCTTGAGGAGGAGATGCAGGAGCGACCTTCGGCGAGGCAGGCGAGCTCACGGGGCGGCGGACAGGGCGCTCGCCCCAATTTTCTCTTCTGCTACCTCTGTGGACTACAGTTCGGCTCCGCCAGCTTGCCCATCCATCAACCGCAGTGCTACGTCAAGAAGCTCATTGAGTGGGAGCGCATGGATCCGGCAAGGCGAGGCCCAAGGCCGCTGAACCCGGAGGAGCACGAAAAACAGATGAAGGAGTGGACCACGCTTGGTGGGGCCAGCGGCGCCAGCGCAGGAGGCAGACTGAGGCGCAAGCAGCTCGACCGCTTCAATGAGCTGCAGATTGAGCACTTCAACACGAATATGCTTTTAAAGTGCGGAAACTGTGGACGGACGTTTCTTCCGGACCGCTTGGAGGTTCATCAGCGTAGTTGCAAACCGGGCGCGGCAAGTGCGTCGCGGCCGGTAACCCGCCCATCCGCTGGCCGAAACGCGTGCGGAAACCCCCCGAGGAAGACACGGAGTGAATCTGCTCCTGCTCGTTCTAGCCCAAAGTCAACTGGGGCTGTGCCGTTGGACGAACGGCCATTGCCGGTCGCGGCGCAGGACGCCGCCCTGACAGAGACGGCGCGATCGTCTGCGCCCGCGACACCTCAACCGCAACCTGCAGGCGTTCCTCTTGTGAGTTCCGTCGCGTTGGGGAATGACTCGTTAGCGGAAACGCCACCTCGTGTGGATGCGCCGTTTTCTCTGCAAGAAGACACGGATGGTGATGAGGGCACCAACGTCGGTGGTGACGCCGCGGCTTCCGCTGCACCCGATGCACCAGATGCCACATCTTCAGTGGCGCGAAGACTGACCACCGTGAATGCAAAAAGTTCAGTCCAGCCGGAGGAGGCGCTGAGGGGCAGCGCAGTTGCTGTGGCGGTGGAGAAGCAAAGTACAAGTAATGAAGCCCAAGAAACCCCTAAGCAAAGCGCCGTTTCGCTGGGCTTGACGGATGACGGCAGACGCGAGAACCCTCCTGTGGACGATGCGTTGCCAAGTGCTGGCAGCGATGCCACCGACCCTGCGGCAGCAACAGCCGCTTTTGCTTCGGCCCCGACTTGGGATGATTCCCAACCGTGTGATGATGACGCTGCCGTACAGAGGCGCGTCGTAAAAATTCCCTTGAACAATGTGTCTCGCTTCAAGAACGTTGCCTCTCGCTTGCAGGCGGACTTGCATAAGGCGGAGGAGCTGCCAAGGTGCCGCTTTTGCAACCGAACCTTCAACGTTGGACGCCTGGCGAAGCACGAGGATGTATGTCTGGAGCGCAATAAACCGCGCCCCCGCAATTCCGCCTCCGCGGACCATCACCCGCTGGCTCCCGCTGCCGCCCATGAGGCAAACAAGAAACATGGACGTGACACTCCTCGTGGCGGGCGCACCGGGTCTGGGGCCGGGCGGCAGCAGCAGCAGCCGCCGCCGCCGCCGCCGCCGGAAGACGCGTCACCTCCAACCGCGTCCGCCCCCGGCGTTGCCACCGCAAAAAGTGCCCGCTCTCCCCCGCAACCTAAGAGCGGGACGGCGATGCGGCGTGGCTCCACTGAGGGCAAAAAGCTGCGATTTTGCTTTGAGTGTGGTGTAAAGCTTCATGCCGGGACTCAACGGTTCTGCGCGGAGTGTGGGACAAAACTAATTTTGTAGATTTTTTTTTTTGTATCTGTTTGTGCGTGTTTGTTTTCGGTGTCCTGAGGCAACTTACGTATACATGTCTTCGGCTTTGCCGCGCGCGCGTGCTAAGGGTGATATATATACACACACACACACATGCGCGGACTTATATGAGATCTCTCGCCGGTTTATGTGTGGGCGCCTGCAATGTTTGGGATGGGCCCACTTTTCCTTCATTTTTTTTTCTCTCTCTCTCTTTTGCTTTGCGGGGTGCCCACCTCATTCCTGCCGCCGCCGCCGCAGCCGCACGGAAACGAAAAACGAGAAAAGCAACGACAACTGAGGCCGAAGAGGCGAATGAAAAGAAAAGAAAAAGAAAGATAGAACGAAAAAAGGGGAAGGTAGATAAAACAGAAAAAAAAGCGACGAAAGAGAGAAAAAGCGAAAGAGAAATGAAAATGTTTGCAGGAAAAAAAACGAAAGATGTTCCGATGACAACTTGAGCCCCCCACACACTGCTGCTGCTGCGGCTGCGGCCGGGCACGGAACGAGAGGAGAGTGGAACTCACGAAGAAGCTGAGCGCGACGCTGTGCGGGAGGGGAGGAGTGAATGAAAAGAGAAGCTGAAAGGCAAAAAAAAAAGAGAGAAGTGAAAAATAAAAAAATAATAATCATAATCATAAACGAATTGCGGTGGAATATGTGTTCTTCTCCGCACGTTGTCTTTTTTTTTCTTTGCGCTCCTCTTCTTCAATGATGCACGCCACCGTTGGCGTGCCTATGCCTTCACGCACAGGAAAGGTAAGTCCTCTGCATGTCTCTTCCACCCGCCACAGGGGCCGTGGAGCTCAGTTCGTTTAAGCAGCACGTCATTCGCCTCCTCGCCCAGGGCAAACGGTTGGACGGGCGCTCCTTCGACGCTATCCGGGCCCCGCATATCCTTCACGACGACCGACAGGCGGCAAAGACAAACAGTCTGTTGGCCTCCAAGCTGTACACAGACGAGACGGGAACAAGCCTGGGTTGCACCGTCACCGGTGTGTTTGGCCCACCGCAGTCACGATACCCTGAGGAGGGTCGGCTTACGGTGGATGTCACGGCCCCGTTTTTCCCGAGCTACAGCGCAGTCCAGATAGAAGGAACACTGCATGAGGTGGCCCGCTTTGTGCGTTCCACCATTATCTCCTGCCTGGATCTTGCCGCGCTTTGCGTGATTAGTGGCGAGGCTTGCTGGGTTCTACGTGTGGAGCTGACTGTGATGAACGCCGACGGCGGACTCCGGGCTGCGGCCCTTCACACGGCTGTTGCTGCCCTGCATAATTTGACGCTCCCCAAGGCACGCCTTCCTAGTGGCGACGTGGTAGAAAGCAGGTGCCTGCGCTTTCATAGGATGCCTGTGGCTGCCACTATCGGCGTCTCGGCGGCGGCGGGTGACATGCGTTTTTTGCTTGACACCAACGCCGCGGAGGAGAGCGTGGCGGACGGGGTTCTCACGGTGGTCGTGGATGAGGCGGACGGAATTGTCGCCCTCGTGCATCACGGGAAGTTTCCACTGCTTGTGCCCGCCCTGACCGGGGCGATTGACATGCTGACGTCGCGCAGTGCAACACTCCGCTCGGCGATTCTCAAGTCCGGCAATCCCGCCGTCGAATGAAGTGGCGCGGCCGGAGACGCGGCGTAAGCGACGAGTAAATTTGGCGCCAGGGGAACACCCACAACAAAAAAAGGGGAAAAAGGGCACCCGAGCGGTGCCGTTGCGTTGTGCCCCCTCCCTTTCCTCCCCGGGGCACGCGGGTGCACTTCTCTCCCGTTCTATTTCTGTGCGTTGCTTAGGCCTTTTTTTTCTCCCTTTTTTTTTATTCTTTTTGTGCTGCGCGCCAAGACCGCGCAACGGGGCACGAAGGAGGAAGCAGGGGCGGGGGGCAGCAGGAGGCAGGAGTTAAGCTGAACGGCGGCCTGAGGGAGAGCACGAGCCGCGGCCCGATGGATGTTCTCACCCGTGACCTGCATCACCACCACCTGGCGCGGCTCCTCCACCTGGTGCCGCACCTCCATGCCGCCTTCCTAGAGAACTCCTTCCTGCTGCCGCTCTTCTTCTCGTGCGTTAGCTCCGCGGCCAAGCGGCACGCAAGGCTGCTTCTGCTGTGTCTGCAGCGGCGCTTTGGGTCTCTGTGCCCGCGCGAGGTGCACCTTCACGTTCTCTCTTTCCTGTCATTTCCTGAGTTCGCTGCCGCGCCTCCCGGCCCCATTCGCCGGCAACCGTCACTCCATGCCGGCAGCAGAAAAAGGGCACGCGCAGAGATGGAGGGGCCTGTGCCGCCGGGACACCCAAAACCGACGCCCACAGACGCGGCAGTGGAGAGAGAAGCGGAAGGGGTGGTTGCCGTGGACGGGGAGGAAAGGACACTGAAATCCTCGCCGCAGACCGAAACTGCGGAAGTTGAGGAAGAACCATCCGCGACGGAGTTCTTGTTTCATGTTCGTCCACCGGTAGAAGCTGCGCCTGCGAGTTCTGCGAAGACGACGACACATTTGTTTGTCCGTATGGTTTCCGAGTCCGTGCACAACGAGGAAACCATGAATCGTTTTTTTGGCCGTTACGGACAAGTATCATGCACGCTGTTGCAGCAACAAGAGCAACCGAAGCAGCAGCAGCAGCAGCAGCATCAGGGCAGTGTGGATGTGGGCCACACGGAGGCTACGGTGGCTGTTGTGCAGGATTTTATTGTTTCGGTTGACTCCACAGACAACGCCCTGAAGGCCGTACGCAGTGCTTACTACCCCGAGTTGGCGTTTATAGCGTTTCACAACCCCGCCTTTGACGCATACACTTTGGCGGATCTGGATCGTGTGCTGCACGATGTGTCTGTAGAGATTGTCGGAGGTCCACCGCCTGAAGCTGCTACCGAAGCGGAGGATGAAAAGGATGGCGCGAACGCGTTGCCTCTGCACGCATTTGTCCCTGATGTCGTGGTGGACGGTCTACCGTACTGGCTCACAGTGGACCAGCTGCGTGTTTCCTTCTCCGAGTACGGGCGCGTGGAGGACGTGCGCATCGCCATCGACGATAGGAGCGGCTCCTTCACGGGAGCCGCGCTGCTGCGCATGTCCTCTGTGGAGGAGGCGATTGCGGCGTCAGAGGGCCTTAACGGCGCGGTGTTGAAGGATCACTCACTTGTAAGCGGTGTGCTGGACGACCATCTGAATATTGTGTCGCTGCGTCAAGGCACCATCATTCGCCAGGCGGACGAGCTGCTCCCGGCGGACTACGACATCAGTGAGAACCACCGAAGGTGGGTGTGAGCACCTCAACGGAGGAGACGTCGCAGCACCAAAAAGAGAATCCCGACTCGTTTTTTTTTTTGATGTGCTCGTCTGCCGGTGTGTAATGAGTGGTCGTCGTAACCTGTTCTTTTCTTTCCGCCCATCCATCTATATATTTTTTTTTTCGTTCACAGACAGATTCTGAGGGGGAGATTCCTTCGTGTCACTGCAACTTCTCTCTCTCTCTCTCTCTGTGCGTGAGTGTGTTTCCGTGTGTGGGCCAGTCACTCTGCAGCAAGCCGACGCAGCGTACGTAGGCATCGAGGGCGCGGGTGTGGCGGTTGCATGCATTTGTTCCCCACAGGGCGGGTAGGGCATCAAAGTAACTCGTCTATTAATGCTCCGCTCTGCGCCGCGCGCCGGCGGCGCCTCCGTGGTTGCCGCGCTCAGCGCCGTTGAGGCGGTCCCACCTCGGTTGGTGAACACCTCTCAGCACGCCGCCTTCATGCCCCCCGTCTCGGCGCGGCAGTGGATGGAGCTCGCCATGTTTTGCCTGCACAACCGAAAGGTGTCTCAAAAGCGCCTCCTGCAGATGCTGGAGGACACCGCCAAGGCGCTGATGGAAGAAAGGCCTCTCCACAGCCAGTCTCCCGCCTCCCCTCCCAGCAGAGAGTGCAAAGGCACTGACGATGACGGCCACAGGGTAAGCGCGCTGTCTGATGCGCCCTCGACAGACGTCGTTTTAGAGTCTTCCGCCCCTTCCACACCACGACGGCAGTTGGCGGCAAGATTTTTTATGTTGGCTTCTTACCTTGGAATCAGGGGAGGAAGCGTCTCTTCGCTTCACGCCGGTGTGCGCTTGGCTGAGATGGCGGTGGACGCCCACCACTGCCCGCTAACCACCACCCACCTTGCATGGTCCTTTTACCGTCTTGGTTGCGTGGTGCAAGAGAGGGAAAGTCGAAGCGCACTGGAGGCGATGGCAATGAGGCTGGCGCGAGGCACATCTGGGGCCGGTACACTGCGGAGTGCCGCCTTTCCCACGGAAGTGATACAACTTGTGAAGCTTGCGTGGCTTATGGCCGTTCTTGGGGAGACGCAAAGTGCCTTGTCGCTGGTGCAGAAATTGTTGGGAGAAAATCGGGCGGATGCCAACGCGTTGGTGCTGCTTTCTCTCTTATATTCTGCAACTGGAGAGTACGACAAGGCCCTGGAAGTGGCCAACGGCACGGAGCAGTCGCACCCGCTGTACATTCCGGGAGGACTCGTGCTAACCGTGATGCGGTATGTGACGAACGACCCGCATCAGCATGGACGTGAAGACTTTGAGGAGCTGCTGGCGGTGCTTGTAGCACGCGTTCAAGCGGCGGCTCAATACACGGCAACGCGAGCGGGTTCGGAGGAATTTCCGCTTCCGCCAGAAATTGGCTTGACCGTCATTGCGGATGGGGGTTGGAGCAGCCACCTGCACGGGGAGTCTCGCGTGGCGGGGCACTGGGCGCTGCTGGCATACGTCGCTTTGGAGGTTGGCTGCCCCGCCGTCGCCGAAATCGCGGTGCGGGCAGGATTGGAGTACGTGAGTGAGGCGAAGGAGGAACACGGCAGGGCCTACGCCGACCTCGTTTGTTGCGCCGCGCGAATAAAGCTTGACCGCCTTGAGAAACTCGTGGACGCGGTTCGTCAGAGTCACGGCGCGGCAGGAATCGGTGACGACGTCTCCGAGTTGCGGGTGTTCGAGGACGAGCGGAATATGCAGGAGCAGCGAACTCTGCTGGATGAACCTGAGGTGCTCTCGCTGCGTACCATGCTATGTACAGCGCTTGAAGTATGCACGGCACACGCGGAGTCGTACGTCCATCTGGGTCGCCTCTACCTCCTTGAGGCCCTCAAGGCCAATCACCCGCAATCTCTCCGCGCCACATCTCTGGTCGAGGCGTCACACTACTTCCAATTGGCTATTCACTCCAACCCCGCCCTTGGCGCCGCGCACGAGGGCATGGGCCGCGTGCGCGAGGAACAGGGGGCGCTGGAGATGAGTTTGGAATTTCTCTCCTCTGCAGCAGAACTCGCCGCCCGGCAACCAGTGATTCCCTTCGAGAGGTTTTTGTATATTTTTCTCTGAAACAACGCTCTCTGGAAGAAAGAGGGGAGAAGGGGAGGGAAGCCAGGCGTGGGGTGGGGGCGGTGCGTGGAAGTGGGGTGACTCGTGCGACACTTTTCCCAAAATTTTTTGTTGCCTCTTTGCCCCCGCACAGCGGGTGCCCGAGAGTAATATTTAGGTGAAACACTCCGGCGGCCTGAGAAGGCACACCATAGAGACAGGCGGTAGGCGTCAGTAGTGGGTAGGGGGGAACGCCAAGGCGGGACGTTAAAGGCCACACAGCGAAGCAAGCGCAAAGAGGAAGAGAAACAACAATAACAGCTACGACGCAGATTTGATCATGCCCGCTCTTGGTATTGCGTGCTCTGGGGCCAATTACTACCGCCCCGCGTCGCTCGAAATTATGAAATACCGCTGTAAGGAGGCTCAGCCAGTCAATAAACCGTCGGAACACGAGGAGAGCGAAGCGGAGGTAGAAGAATCCAGCAGCTCTGAGACGGAGGAGTAGTGCGTGGGGAATACAAAGTAGGGATTGATGGCAGGGGCACCGTGTGAGTCATGCCTTTATGCATTTAGGAAGGGCGGGGCGGGATGGTGCGGCAGGTAAACCCCGCTTCCCCGCCTGCTCCGCTCACAGTATATTCACGCACGTGGGCTGGATAAAAAAGGGACTGAAGTGGAGGGGAATGCTGCCGCTGCTGTTGTTTGTATGTGTCTTGAGTGTTGCTCCTGCCGTGTTTGACGTCGCATTGGTAACAAATTGAAACGCGCAGATGGGTGCGCATGCAACTCAACCGTTGTGTGTATTACTGTTTCTTCTTTCTTTCTTTCTTTCTTTTTTCTTTCTTTCTTGGCCCCCGCTTCTCCGCCTCGTCTTTCTGCCAGGCGATACGGCACTGGCGAGGTACGGAGAGGACCCACGGCGCGGTGTAGACACGGCAGTTGTGGGTGCTTTGGGGTTGCCGGTGACGGATGCGACGGTGCTTTGCGTTGCTCTGGCGTCAAGAGAAGCGACTGCCACGGCGGTTTCGGGACGTTCCAGAGGAATTCACGGACATCCGCTCCTCCGATTGCAGGCCGTTGGTCTTTACGCCGCGGCGGCCGGAGCCGCTGCGTGCGGTGGCGTCTCTCTCCGACATCGTCGTTGATGAAGCGGCGCTGCAGACGAGCTCGTTGCAGGAGCTTTCGCAGAAGCCGGTGGCAAAGCTGGACTCAGAGCGAATGGGGCTTCCCCCACATCTGGTGCAGTATCTGCACCGACGCTTCTCGTCCGAGGCATCTCCGCGTGATGCCTCTTTGCGCGGCGGTGGGGCCGGGGCCGGCTTTCAGGGGTTGACGATGGTCCAGGCGCGCGCTCTTCAGCACCTGTACGCCCAGCAGGACGTGGCCCTCTGTGCCCCGACGGGGACTGGGAAGACATTTGCGCTGTGTCTGGCTCTCGTCGCCCGTCTGATGCGGGATGGGCCGATGAAGCTTTTCTCTGTCTTGTTCCTCGCGCAGAACGACCACCTCTGCCGCCAGATTGCGCGGTGGATGCAGGAGATGTGGTGGTTTGAGGCGGATGACCGCTTGGTGTTTGCCGCCACCAGCGATGTGCCCCCCAGCGTGGTGTACCAGCGCCTCACGCGGGAGCTCGTCCGCGACGCGGCGGGCAACGTTGTGCGCTCGCTGGACCGACGGCCATACGTGTGCGTGGCAACGCCGGAGGTGTTCTGGGAGTTTTTTCAGCGCCGCAAGCAATCCATCCTTCGCCGTGAGGCGGCGGCGGGGCGCAGGAAGCACTCCTTCGCCCTCACCCCCGTGCTGCCGAGCATTGACCTCGTGGTGGTGGACGAGGTGGACGACGTGCTCCCCTCCACCCGCCCGGACGCGGCGGGGAATCTGCTCATGAAGGAGCTCTACCGCTTCGTCAAGTACCAGGCGCCGGTGCAGCTGGTGTTCACGAGCGCCACTCTCGCGGGGTCAACCGTCAACCACGTGCGGCGGTTTTTGAAGAAGAGCGTGCTCGAGTCCAGGACCTCCCGCATTTTTGAGAGCGAGATGGAAAGCTTTGCCCAGAAGGCAAAAGCGACAGGGAACCTCTCAAAGGCGCGTGTTCCGGATGGGATTCAGCACCGCTTCTACACCGCCGACACCCTGGAGGAGCAGCGGGAGTGCGTGGCGGCCGCCGTGCGGGAGTCAGGGCCTGGCGATGAGAGCCCCGCACATCCAATGGGGGAGATGAAAGCGTTGGTGATTTTGCCGAACTCTGGAAGCGTTGACCTCTTCGTTCAACGTGTTTTGACGCCCGCCCAGCCGGATGACAAATTTACAGTGGAGATGCTCGACACGCTACAAGAGCCGCGTAAGCGGAGAGGCGGAAGAGAAGGCGTGGCTCGCTCAGGCCCACCTGCTGCGGCGTTAGACGTCAATGCATCTTCCACAGGCGCGAGGCCTGTTCGACAGTTTATTCTCTGCCTTTCCTCTGCCGTTCGCGGCATTGACATCAACGACCTCACCCATGTCATGATTTTGGCCACCCCTCAGTCTGCCTTGGACTACGCGCATTGGTGCGGGCGTGTCGGACGGCTTGGAGGCTCTGGCGTCTCGGTGGTTATCATGAGCCGCTTTGCGGTGCGGAAGATGAGCGCCTTTTGCGACACACTAAACATTCCCTTCAAAGTGGGGCGACGGCACGACCGGGTCGACGTGGATGCGGAAAGGCGAGCCCTTGGCCTTTAGGGGGAGCGTGGTGCCTTTGTTGTCGTTGTTATTCTTTTTCCCCCCTAGCCGCTCCCCCTTGCCCATCGTATGTTTGCGCTGTTGGGTCCGTTGGACGTGCCCTCGGCTGAGGTGAGACGGGCCGTCACTGCAACTACCCCCTCCTTATTGCCGTGCGCTTTTCTCTCCCTCGTGCATTTCGTTTTTTTTTTATTTCGCCCTCCCTCCTTCTCTCTCTCACACACACATAGAAACTTCCTCCCTCATTTGCTGTGGAGCTCTCTATTACTCATTTGGTGGCGTCCCGCGGTAGTTGCGAGCCCTCACCAACGTCTTGGACACAACCACACGGCTATTGCTAGTGATAGTGGCGAGGGTGGGTGCGTCGTCCTCGGCGGCAGGGACTCCTCGCAGCGGCAGAAGGAGGGGGAGGAGTGCCGTGCTTGGAGGTCGTTTTGCTTCCCGGCTCTCCCTTCCCAGGCCCGGCGTCAAAGTTTTTAGAGGTGGTTCGCGGGAAGGTAGGGGGTGCCGTTAGACCGTTTCTTTCTTTCCGCAGTGGGTGGGCGAGATGTGGAGGCCGTCGTTTTTGCCAATTTACGCCCGGATCCACGCCTGCTGTTCGGTGAAGCTGTTCTTCTTGTCTTTGCTGTCGTTTCAGAATGCGGCGGTGGTGATGCTCATGAGTTACACGCAGCAGCGGCAGGCGTCTGCCGGGGCCGAGCGGTTCGCCGTGACGCACGTGGTGTTGATGCAGGAGGTCACGAAGCTCTTTGCGTCGCTCGTGTGGTGCGCCGTGGACGTCTACCGCTTCGTCCGGGCGCACGGGGTCGACATGGACGAGAAGGCGACGGCTTTGGGGGGGCCGGAGGAAGCGCGGCAGCAGCCCACAAAGGTTGCCTTCGTCAAGGAGGCGTCTAGTTCAAGTTGTTCGAGCCTGAATGAAGACTCCAACTGCAAGAACGGAGTGGCGGAGGGCTTGGAGCAAATTGCACCGCCAACGAAGGCGGATGCATGGCGCTTGTGCAAGAGGCAGTTTTGCTCTGAGCTCCTCCACCAGAGTGCGCTCTGGATGCTGCTGCCGGCGGTGCTCTACTCTCTTCAGAACTGCTGCATCTACCTTGCCCTTGCAAACATTGAGCCAGCGCTCTTTCAGGTGACGTACCAGTCACGAATCCTCATCACAGCGTTGTTCATGATGTGCTTTCTCAAGCGCACCTTTTCACTGCGGCAGTGGCTGGCCCTCGTTCTGCTGGTGTTCGGCGTCACCGCGGCACAGCTGGAGAACCGGGTCTCTGCGGTTTCGCGGCAGTCATCAGTGGGTACTTTTAAGGGGAACTACATAATTGGCGTCGCCGCCACGGCGGCCTCCTTCACGATGTCCAGCGCCGCCTCTGTTCTCATGGAGGGCTTCTTCAAGTCCAAGTCGACTTCGTTGAACTCGTTTACCTCCACGAAAAATGTACACCTCTCGTTTTACTCGTCTGCGTACTTTGCCGCGCTCCAGCTACTGGGTGGCGTCGGGGGCGGTTTCGCCGAGTTCCGTCAGACCGGCCTCGCGGGCTCTGTTGCGGCGTACTTTCGCGGCTTTGACTACCTCGTCTGGGTGCTGGTGCTGCTGCAGGCCATCGGTGGGCTGGTGGTGGCGGTGGTGCTTAAATACTCCGATAATATCATGCGGACGTTTGCCTCTGGATTCTCACTCGCCCTGAGTGGCTTTTGCTCCTCCTACCTGTACTCGTTTACGCCGGGCGCGCTTTTTTTGATTGGCAACGTCGTATCTATCGGGGCAATCACGATGTACAGCTGTTGACGGCCCGCGCATGAGAGAGAGGGAGGGAGTGGCGTGCAGTTGCTGAATGCCCCTGCGAGGCGCGGGGGCTGTTGGCAGCGGCCCAACTTGCCCTCCTCCTCTCCAGAAATAGCCGTATAGCTGTGTGGGGGTTGCGCAACGCACTCATCCAAAGTCCTCTGTGTCTACTTAACATGTGCTATAGTCAAGACCAAATATATATATATATATATATGTCCTTAGTTTTTACCTTATGCCTTCTTTCTTTCTTTCTCTCTCTGTGTGTATGTGTGTGTGTGCGTTGGCCGCTGCTGCGGCAGGGGTGTGCCACGCGTGTGCGGTGCCAGTGGGGTGCGCAACGGTGCTGGTGCCAGGTGTGGAGGCGAGGGAGGCGCAGGCGTGGCGAATCAAGTAAAAGTAATTCGCACAAACTCCCCCCCGCCACACACGCACAGACACACGGCGTGCAGGAGCTGCAGCCGCAATGAACACAAGTCTCGAGGCGGGTTTTGTTTGTTTGCGCGCGTGAGGAGGGGACATCCGCGCAGCCTGTCTTCCGCCGTGCTCTTCGCTTGTGTCTCTGCACGCATATATAACTATTATCGTCGGGAGTTACAACGTCCGTTCACGAATTATGCAGGGGATCAGAAGCCGAAAGTGAAGAGAGACAACATCAACAAAACGAAAGGAAACAAATTGAAGTTAGTCATTCAACCCAAAAATTTAAAACGTGACTGCCCGCCAATGCCTGAAATTAGAGGCAATGCTGGGCGTGCGGCTCTTCCCGTACCCACTGTGTAGCCTCGCCCTTATCTTCTCCCACCCCTATGCCACCTGTGCGTCTGCAGAGGCCAAGAAGGAAAGGGATTTGACGGACAATAGCAAGAGCCGAAGCAAAAAAGAAAAAAAGCAAAACCAGGGAGTGAAGGAGTTCTCTGTCTCGACGCAGTTGTTGGCCGACTCTACGCAAAGCACCACCCACAGACACACGCGTATCAGCGCAGAAGGGAGGAAGACAGGGTAGAAGTGTCTGACACACGGCGCAGCGCTTTCATCTTCTACACCTCGTGTCCCCTCTTTATTACTGCGTGGAAACGCTACGCTGAGGCAAAGCGCTTTATCATTATTTTTCTTGGCCACAGCCGCCCAGGCTGGTACGCTCACCGTAGCTTAATTACCCATACCTATATCTCTATCTAGCTAGGCGCCGGTACGAGGTTGTATACTTTTATATCTGTCACTTACTTTTTGTTTTTGTTTGTGTGTGTGTGTGTGTGTGGGCGTGTGGCTGTTTGTTTCCTTTTCCCGGCAGGCAGCATTGCCGCGAGACGCTGATGGAGGCGCCGTCGCGTTTCTTTGAGGGCCGGGCCGACGTGTTCGTGGAGACGGCGGAGTCGTCGAACTCGCCCGCCTCCAGCCGGCAGGACGTGGCTCCGCCGCGGGAGGGCAAATACGAGGGCGGTGGGCCGCAGCGGAGCCGCAACACCAGCGGGCTGCCCGGGGACTACTTCAATGTGCTTAGCGCGGACAAGGCGGAGACCCTCTCCATCCCCCCCGACCTCATCGAGCCCACGGCCGGCTCGCGGAGCTACCTGGCGAAGAACCAGAGCAGCGGGGCCCCCACTTTCTCCTTCTACCTCTGCAAGCTGTACACCAGTGGCTCAACCTGCGCCCACGGCTCCTTCTGCGACTTTATTCACAGCCGCCACGTCTTGTCAGATGCCTCGCATCGCAGTGGGCGGGTGAAGGCCTTTCAGGTGCACTGGTCGACGCCCATTCCTTCCTTGGCGGAGGCCGTGTATGAGCGACATGAACCTGGGTTTGTGTTTCACATCAACCAAAACAACTTCTCCGGGAGTTCTAGCCAAGCCTCCAGTAATAATGCGCCGGACAGGCGACGACTGGCCTCAGAGTACGTTTATAAGACGAAGGGAAGCGAGGAGGCCATGCTGCATGGCTCAAGCAGACTTCTTCGATTGTGCAAACACTACGAACGTGAAAAGTGTGCACGGGGAAGACTGTGCCGGTTTGTGCACCGCGTCCATTTGAGCTCCTCCGCGCCGGCGCCCCTGTCTCCGCCAATGCCGCTGACAGCCCCAACAATAACAGCGCCCCTCTCCTACAACCAAGCCGCCGAGCTCAGTACTACCATTAACCTGTCTCAGAGCCCTGCAAACACTCGGCCACGCTTTTCACAAGGCGTTGATCGTCTGACGACAAATGTCCTGCAGGCTCACCCTCGGCGTGAAGGCGGCATCTCCTTCGACGCCCGCGGTGTTCCACGCGCGAGTGGTGGGGTTTTCCTGGCGCCCTCGACGATGCTAACGGCCCACCCCTCATCGCCAGCGCAGCAAACACGGCTACACCCACAGCAGGCGCAAAAGCAGCAGCCACAGCCGCCGATTTTGCCGCACCCAACAGGGTACCATTTTACCCCTGTGTACACTTCTCAGCAGTCGCCGTACATGAGAACTTCGGCAACGCAACTTTCGGCAACGCCCTTGCAATTTTCGACCTCTTACTGCGATCATTCTCAGCAGCACGGTACCCAACAGCAAAATATGACGCCAGAACTGCAGCAACCGTCGGTGCTTCCGCTCTCTCCGGCCCCGGACTACCTCCTGTCGCAGGTCTTGTTCACCCTCATGTAGCCATTCAGCGCGGGGCGTGGAGCTGGACAAAACCACTGAGAGTCCGCAGGGCGGTTTGCCCCGGACGGCGTTGGGTGATTGAAGGGGTGCTTTGGGGGAAAGGGGCAACCTGTCCTGCAGTTCCAACCACAGTTTTTTGTTTCGTTTTTTTGTTGCGATTTTGACACGTTTGGAGATAAGGTTGGCTGACTATACGTTTTTGATTGTCGTTTTTTTTTCTCTTTCCTTTCTTTTTTGATTACTTCGTTTTTCTCTTATGGCGTTCGACGCTCCTTGCCGCCGAAATGAACCATCGTTTGTTTGCTTCTTTTGTTCTCCCTTTTCTCGCGGGTGTATATGTATGTGTTTCTCCCCTTTTCTCGGGTCATGCCCGTGTCTGTTGGTGCTCTGACGTTGATCCGCCGCTGCAGCTCCTCCACACGCTTCGGGCACGCATATGACGTCCATGTAAATGTTCCGCAAACACCGATGACTTTGCTTCTTTGTATGTGTGTGTGTGTGTGTGTTTGCGCCCGTCGTAGTTGTGGCTGCGTCACGCACGTGCGGTGCGGTGGTAGGGTTGTGAGAGGGGAGGAAACCAACACGGTCTGCTTTAGCGGTGTTCACTGCTGTCGGATGGAGAGGCCTTTCCGCCCTTTCCCTTCACTCTTCCTATATCTCCCTCGCTATGCCTGCGTGCCGCTGCGGCGTTATATATAAATATGTATTCGCTGAGCTTCACCATTCGTGGCGCACCACCCACATGCGCCTCGGTTGCCAAACTTTTTTTTTTTCTTGCCTTCCATCTCTCTGTGGCTGCATGTATACATATATCTATATCTATATTTATGTGTCGTTATATATTTGTTTTTCCATGTATGCATCTCTGCGCGCACGCGCGTTGGTGTGTGTGCGTGCATGTGGTGTCACTATTTCCCACTGGAACTGAGAACATTCGTGCCGATATTAATTGTTGTTGTAATGCCTATTCCTTTCCGAGATGCTGCTGTTCCTCCTGCGGCTCACGCTCGCGCGGATATTCGTTGGCGAAGGTGCCGCCCAACAAACCTCTCTCTCGCTCTCCTTCCTCGCTTCGTCTTTCACGGGCAAGGGAGCCCGCGAGAAGGGAGGAGATGACCAGCTTTATGCTTTGAAGTGGAGCCTTTTTTCTGATGACACCTTGAAGAGATGTAAATGTGCGAGTTGCCAGCGCTTATGTCATGTTTTACTTGTAAGCACCCCCCGGTGTGTGAACGGAATAAATGAGAGCACCCACTAGGCCCGGGGCGGGTGGGACGAAACAAATTTCCTCATCGCTGACGTCCCTTCCCCCTATTGCAGTGTGATATACACTGCCTTTCCCGGCATGTGTGCGGTGAATGTGTCTCTCTCTCTCTCGCTCTCTTGTTGCATCTCCCTTTTCTATACGCTTTAACGTGCGGCATGCCCGCACACTCGCGACGTCTATTACACCCTTTGGATTTTACTTTCTTCCCTCCTCCGTCCTGTCGTTGCTTTAGCCGTCGGCAAAGCCCCAGATGTATAACGGCGCATACACGTATATATATATATATATGTGTGTGTGTGTGTGTGCGGGCTGATGGGTATCTGTGCGTGTAAGATTGAATATACATATGATGTATACAACATATAGCCACTGCTGCCACTGTTGCCACGTATTTTTAGTTTTCTGCCTCTCCGCCCTCCTCCACCTTCCCTCACTGTTCCTTTTTTTTTTCGTTTCCCCGGGCAGGGCGGGGTGGGGGAGCGCCACAGTGGTCTGGTCTGTGCGCACGCGGGTATGTCCTGAGTGCAGTCCTGCGCTTCTGGGTGTGTGCGGTGGAAGACAGTAGGGACGCCAAAGGGGGAAAGAGAAAATAAATGGAAGTGACGCAGTACCGCAGGGCGTAAATGAAAATATATATATATATATATATATATAATGTGTATGTATATATAATGTCTGGGGACCGAGAGGGGAGAGGGCCAGGAGCATGCTGGCACCGAAGTGACGGAGCGACACGGGGAAACGACCGTGTTTGGCGCCCACTCGGCCCTTGCCGTTTATTTCGTAATATAAAATACGCACGCCTCTGCGTGTGCACAGCCCTTGCCTTTTTGTGTTTACCTTTTCTTTTTCAGTCTGCCTTCCAGCGCTGCGGCGTCCTCCTCCCCGGGCGGAGCACACACACACACACACGTGGGAGCAGGCGCCCCTTGGACTGCCCTGTATGCCTGCCTGCCCCCATTTTTTTTGTTTTTATGTCTTTTCTTCTTTTCTTCTTCCATCCACCCTTCCCCGCCTCTCCGGCACAGCAGAAGGCGGGCGAGGAAGCCGAAGCGAAGGGAAATAGGTGAGGGAAAGGGGGGGAGAGAGAGAGGGAGGGGGCGTAGGGCGCAGCGTTCATGACGGCAGAGCGCGTGGAGGGTGTGCTTGAGCTTCTCACCTACACAAAGGGCGTTGCGGGTGTTGTTGTGTGCAACCGCGACGGGGAGCCCATACGCGACAGTTTTCAGGACTTGGACCGCACGAAGGCGGTGGAGTACGCCGACATGGCGGCCGAGTTGGCGCGCGAGGCAGCCCCATTGCTGCAGGCAGACGACACGCTAGACTCCCTGCGGGTGCGCTCCCGCACCAATGAGGTTATTATCAAGTGCCACGACGAGTTCCTATTGGTCGTTGTTCAGGAGTTCGCCGAGTGAAGATGCTGCTTCCGGGCAGTCTGTTTTTCCTTCTTGCTGGCTGTGCCGCCGCGTGTGGCGGTTGTACTGAAGCGAATGCTCCGTGAAGCCACATCTTCCCATGCACACACGCACGTGCCTCTGCGTATTCTTGGGCATAAAAATGACGCATGTTTTTCTTTTCTTTTCCTTTTGTATTCTTTTGTTCGCGCCGAAACGAAAGTGATGAGAGAGACTGATGCTCCATGTGGGACTGTTGAGCACCGCTGAGGAGATAAACGCGGTCTCCGGGCGCATGGTGGGCGGGGACGTGCCAGCGAAGGACCTTGCAGAGGCGCAGCGACACATGCGGCTCATTCAGCGGTTGAGGAGAACACAACGGCAGCGCTACGTGAGGGAGGCGCAGGCGATGCAGCAGCAGCGGAGGCAGCGGAGATCCGCGGCCGCGTATTGGGAAGCCGCACTCGCCAACTTTGCCAAGACCAATCGAGCTAAGTTGTGCTCCCTCGTGCTAGGATGTGGGACGCCGCCGCTGCTGCGGCTGCCAACGTGGGTGATGGCTCTTGGCAACGCACGAAAACTCGCAAGGGCGGACTTTGAGGCCGCACAGCGCAAGGCGCTGGACCGCGTCCGGGAGGAGGAAGAGGCGGCGGCCGCACAAGACGCATTGAATGGATTCCCCGCCGCTGCCGTCAACCTTCCGTTTGGGAAGTGCGTCTCAAGGATTGCCGAGGAGCTGGCGGGGGAGCTGCCGCGCCCTCAGCGGAGGGCGCAGGGCGCACCCAACGTTCTCCGCGCGAAGTTTCCCTCCGTGAGAGGGACGGCCGCAGTGGATCAGGAGAATACGCCGCGGGGCGAGCGTGAACGTCCCTGTGGTGCCTCGGCCGGGGGCGCCAAACCCCCACTACCCATCTCAGAGTGCCGCGTCACCGCGTTCTTGGGGGTGACGCACATGGAGGAGGCGAATGGGGCCGCGGACGAGGCGGCAGGAGCTACCACGCCTGTCGCGTGCGACAATAATAGCACGAGGGGGGTTGAGGAGGAAGAGGGGGAGAATCACGGCGTAACGGTGAGTCGAAGCCCGTCGTTTTCAAACGTAAGCTCCTGCCTGCGCAAGAACTCACACGACGGCGCAGAAACTGCCGTCGATTCCTTCTTCTCTTCATTTGACCCCAACGCGATGACCCCCATGCAAGTCGGGGACGATGAGGAAAGGGATCTATTTTTATCTTCCCTGCTGAGTGAGGGTGTTCTGCGACAGGTGGAGCTGCTGCTCCGAACACACATGGAGCTTCGTCCGGAGGTTGGGTACGTAAAGGGCATGTCTTGCCTGGCGATGATGCTCGCAGTCGTTGTCACGGATCCGTGGGAGTTGTGTGTGTGCTTTTCTAGCCTGGTGGAGTACGCCCACTTGGGGCCCTTCCTCCGGCGGCGGCAGCAAGGCGTTATTCTCCACCTTGACATATTCGATGCCGTCCTGCAAAAGGCGCAGCCGGCCTTGTATGCGTTGTTGCAGCAGTACGGGGTGCCATTGAACTCCTGCCTCTTGGACTGGTGGAACACAGTTTTTCTAGGAACTTTGCCGTATGCGGCCGCCTTACGCGCTTGGGATCTTTTCCTCTTGGACGAGCACTATCTATACCGCATCACCCTCGCACTCCTGGTGTATCGCTTTGGCCTCCACACCAAGGCCGCGCGGAGGTCCCTCCCACAGTCGTACCACTCGCAGCAAGATCTGCAGCAGGCCTTAAATCCATCTATTTCAGAGACCTACATGAATCAACAGCTTTTATTTCGCATTATGGCGAGTGACGAGTTATGTGGCATTCGCATGCGCTCTATTCGCTCCATTGTGGAGCGCGTGTCAAAGGTTCGTTTCTCGCATTAATAGAATGTCGTGCCACCTCATGTCTGCAGTGCCTGCCGCAGCAGTCCGTGGATACAAGGCTCACTGCAGTCAGTGGTGCCAGCTACATGCATAAGTATTTATTGAACTGTTGGTTTGGAATTGCTGCGAAGAGAGTGAGAAGGGTGGCGTCCTCTTTTTATCGGCACGTGTTTATTTATTTATTTGCTACTTGTTTGTGACTTTGCGTGAACTTCTCGTTTTGCACGCGGTGCAAGTCTCAGTGCATGCGCGCACGTGAGAGGTGGGGCATCCGTTTCTGTGTCCTGACGCCAAGGGGGTGAGATGCCTGCATTGTGTTTGACGCCGTCGTGTGTGTGTGTGTGTGAGTGTGGTATGCTTGTTTTTTTTTCTTTTTGTTGTTGTTGCCACAACTCAGTTTTCCTCCGGAGGGGCTGGATTGCTGGAAAGAGGCCGTTTCACCACTTTTTTTCTTTTTTTTGCTCTTTGTTTTGCCGGCTGCTCGCTTCTCCCACACGTACACACACACCTTCCTACTTTTGTTCCGCGCGAGTGGGGGAAGGCACGGCAGCCACTCGGGAATGTTTCGCCTCGCGCAGCTCGCACGGCGAGGCAAGCGGCGAATTGTGCCGCACACAATCGCCTCGCTCCCGGCCCCGTCGCTGCGCGGCGGCTGGGGGAAAATCGGCGACATGTCGCCGGAGGACAGGCGCGAGGTGCTGGAGGGCGCATGGCGGCACGCGAAGCCCGTGCAGCTTTTGCCAGACGCCTCCGACCGCGACGCGGGCGGCTTCGTGGAGGGGGTGAGTTTCCGAACCGACGAGGAGGCGCAGGCGTTTCTCGCGGAGGAGATGCGGGCGGACCGCGCCGAGCACGACGTTCCTGTTCTTCAACTGGCGCGGAGCTTTTTTGAGGAGTTGGCGGCGGCGGCGGACAGCGAGGTGGACATGGAGAGTGCGCTGGATACCACCGCCGCCGCTGACGCGGAACGTGCGGAGGAGGAGCGCGACGTGCATCGTCGCTTCTTCGCGGACTTTTACGTGCAGCAGGGAATCATCCGCGCGGAGGAGGCGTGGAAGTTTGTGGACGCCATGCTTCGCCCCCCAGCAGCGATGGCGATGGTGAATGCGGGGATGCCGTTTGTGCGTCTCATGCTGCGGTGCCAGTTGGAGCAGCACCTGCGGGCGACGCAGCAGAGCGGCGTCGTCTTTTTGCCGCACCCCGTCTGCCCGCTGGTGTACGTGATGGAGGCGGGGCCCGCCCCGCGCGGGGCGCAGAAGGCATTGGCTGCGCCTGCCTGCGACGACGCCAACGCACCACCGACGTGCCTTTCCGTCGAGGCGGAGGCGGAGGCGGCGCCGGGGAGTATCGAGATGGACCTTATGGAGGCACTATTAAGCGATGGGTCCGGCGTCCACGCGATTCCGACTGCTCACGCAGCGAAAGACGCAGAGGCGGAGGGGGAGAAGAGCCCTGCTGGCGCGCTCACACCGGAGTCGGTTGGTGAGGCGGCGTTGGCGTTGCCTCCAAGGGTCCCGTGCGCCCCACTCTCCATTGGCCACCTCTACTGGCTGCAGCGACAAGTGGCTGCAGCTACCCTTATTGATATGGACGTGCTCGGCGTGCTGCTTCCCCTGCTTTTTGGACGCTGCCGCAAGGAGGGCAGTTCAACTATTATTTTAGACATGTCTTCGCGTTCCCGCAAGGTGCAGCACTACGCCTACGGTCAGGACATTGCCGGGCATGTTGGAATTTCACGTGCCGATGTGGCGGAGGCGGGGGGAGAAAAGGCTTCAGAAACGGTCATCGTCTCTCTTCTTTTGCCTAAACCTGCATGGAGAAAACCGCGACGTCACCGTGACGCGTTGCAAAGCCCAAAGGCCACTTTGGAGGAAGTGCCTGCAGGCGAACCGACATTTGGCATGGGGCATTTGCGCACCGCAGGTTACCATGTGGGGATTGAGAATCGTGTCACGGCGTATGGCTCCCCACAACACCTGTGGGACGCGTTGCGTGCAAAGTGTGATGCCGTGCTTTGCTGTCCGGCTACAACGGCAGACGGGCGTAGGCCGCGCGCGGTGTTGGGGATCAGCGCCGAGGAGGAAGAAACAGGAGCCGTCGCCAATCGATTTGTCTCTGTCTGCTCGAACGTCATGAAGTTGTTTCCACGCCTGAGACGGGAGCTCGCGCAGGCGTTGGAGTATGCCCGCTCCCACGGGGGCTTAGTTGTGTACGCGACAGACAGCATGAACCCGCTTGAAAACGAGGCTGTTATCTGCTCTGTTCTCACGGAGTTCAAGCGGAAATACCCGGGGCGTGAGTACCGTCCCGTTTCTCTACTGGAGCGTCTTACAGAAGAGGACGCCGAAGTCTTGCGCTCCTGCATGGCGCAGGGCCAACCGGGGCTGAGTACGTGGGTCCCAATGCAGGATGGGCCTCGGGAGCAGGAGCCGTCCTACTGCGATGAGGAAATTGCGTCGATGGTCGCGCGTTACTCATGGCGCGCCGCGCCACTGCGTAGCGACGGTGACGTCTGCTTTGTCTGTGCGATTGAGATTCATGAGGGCGCTTCCAGTTTGCCGCCGTCGCCGCCGCCGCTGTCCTTGACCAGGAAGACTGAAACTCCAGCCCTCTCCGCCTTCCCTTGGCTGGACACCGCGAGGCTGCACGACCGCTGGGGCCTGCTCATCCACCATCGCGAGGAAGAAAATGAGTTTGTGGCTGCCACCCCGGCGACGCTTCGCACGATTAACTCTTTGAATTCGACACGGCGCGAGCGTGGCTATGAAATCATTGACTACGGTGCGTGCCTACATTCTCCTTCCGAGTCGCACTCGCAGGCGCAGGAAGGCGTCATTAGTCCTTCGTTGAGTGGGACGCTGTTGGCGCTCGCACTTTGTGACTCCACACACGTGAATTGCCGATCCTCCCGCGTCCTGGAAATTCCCGTCGTGGCCCTCCTGGAGCTGCTACACACCAGGCGTATTTCGTTGCGACGTGTGGGTGCGCTGCTGGGTGGGGTTCCACCAGCGTGGGATGCACTTGCCCTGGCTGAAGGGGTGTCGAACGTGTTTCTAAAAGCCGCATCGCCCGCAGTGGGGGAGCCAGAAAGGGCTGACATGGAACTACATGAGGCCGTGAGGAACGAGCTGGATAAGCTGGTGGTGGTGGCTCAGGCACAAAGGCGCCGCTGTCCGCGGACGCGGACGAACACGGCCGTTCTGACCTTGGCGTGCGCCACGACGCGCGAGCGCGGCGAATTGGAGGCGCGTGTGGTGGCGATCGGGGACGCGCTGCGCTACCTGCTGCGCCGCCTGGGCCACCCCGCGGCGGTGTGGGGAGCCACTGGCTGTGCCAGCGAGGAGGGGCCGCAGGTGCGGGAGGACGAGTACGAGGTGGTGGGGCCGCCTCCCTCCGCCGCCGCTTCTTCTGCTTCTGCCTCCGCGTACACGGAGGGTGATGCCCACGACTTGCTTGGCCGCCGGGAGAGTTCGCACCAGAGGAGGAGCCTTCAGAAATTGGGCCGCACGCTGCGCTTGCTGGGCGGCACTGCCGACGACGGCCCGGTAAGTGACTGGGAGAGGGATCTGCGGCACACACACCGTGGGAGCCGTTCGGCCGCGACCTCAGCTTCCTTGCGCGGCGCCTGACCCAACGCGTCGTCGCGCCCCTTTTTCTTTGGGTGTGGGTTGGCGCCGCCATTCCTCCTCGTTTCGGTTATCCCCGCTTTTTCTCTCTCTCGCCACCGCCGCGTGGCGTATGTGTTGTTGTTGTTTCAGTTTTTTTTTGTTGTTTTCCCTTTTGACCGGCGTCCGGTGCCTTCTCGTCTGCCTCACCTCTTGCGTGCTTGCCTCTCCTCTCGGACGGCGCGCACGCCCCCCCCCCCCCCCCCAGCAGTGATGCGGGCTTGACGCCGAGCCCCATCCCCGGCGAAAATAAAACAGAAGAAGAAGGAAAGGGCAAATAAGTGAACTAAGCGGGAAGGAGCGCGAGCAGGTTTCCCCCACCGCGGAGAGGGACGCCTTCTTCACGATGTATTCCTCGGCGTCCGCCGAATTCTCCCAAGGCGGCTCGTCCAACGCGTCAGGGGATGCAAAGGGGCCGCACGCACTTCTCACCAACACGGAGTTTGCCCTGCTTGTGGTTTTCTGTGGTGTCTGCCACTACTTTGCCCTCATTATCTCCGCCCTCACGGTGGGGGAGTCAACGAGTACGCTGGCCCTGCCGTTTGTTGTGGGGAGGAGATTCTTGGCAAGTTGCGTGGCAGCCGTCAGGAGGTTCGTGCAGCGGCGGCGGGAGCGCGTGTTCGTCGGTGTTGGCTACGAAGACGACGACGCGAGCATCGACCGCTTCGACGCCATGAATCAACCGGCGAAGGCCGGCTTTGAGTGATGTGGCGGGCGCATCCGTCGGTCCAGAACCCCATGGGGGAAAATTAAAGGGGAGAACAGGAAGGAAGCGCAAGACGAGGAACGTGGCTGAAACGGGTCAAACTGCACACAAAGAACGAGAGAGAGAGAGAGAAAGAGAAAGAGGAGAATGTGCTACGAATTGCATTTTGGGGGGTCCTGCGCGTACATTTCCTATTACTTCTTCCACTCGCTCACGTCGCTTCTCTTCTGCCTTTCCTGTTCCAAACTTCCTCCCGTCTTTTGTTTTCTTTCCTTTTTTTGCCGCAGGCACACGTGGATGCGATTACGCGGAAGCAGGGGCCGGGTCGGCTCGCACGAGTGCGGATGGACGGCTTAAGGAGGGGGAGGGATTCGGAGCCGTGCCGGTGGCTGCCTGTGTTGATATGCATCTGTGTACGCTGCTGCGTTCCAGCCATTTATCCCCCTCCCTTCTGGTTTCCTGGGATGTGCGCATATCCTTTTTATTTTGCGTGTGTGGGTCTGTGTTTTCTTTGGCTGCTGCGAAGGCGGACGGTGGGTGGCTAAGGGAACCAAAAACAAAACGAAAACGGTGGCGTGTTTTGTGCGTTTTGCGTTTTTTGGTTTTGTTTTACGCGACCCAATGCTCGCCAGAAGCACGACGACGGAGTCAATGGCGCTGATGAGCCAAAATGTGCTCGGCCGCGTTGTGGCGCAGGAGCGGGAGAACGTCCTCCTGCAGGGCGATGCGCGGCGGCGGGAGGAGGAGGCGCGGCGGGCGGCAGCGGAGGAGCGGGCCGCCTTCGCGGAGGTCGAGGCGTCGCTGCGGGATGTGGTGCGTTTGTGCGTCGCATGTGCCGCTTCGGAGCCGGACGCGGCGGCGCGGGAGCTGACGGAGCACATCGCCGAGGAGGCGGCGGCGGCGGAGTCCTTCGCGTCGGAGGCGCGTCACGAGCGGGTGGCGCTGCTCGCCCGCCGCGCGGCTGCCACTGCGGCGGAAGAGGCGCACGCCGACGAGGACGCGCGTCGCCAGGAATACGCTGAGCGCGTTGCCGATGAGGCGGCGGCGCAGCGCGAGCGACTAGAAATCATGCGGGTGGAGCAGGAGCGCCTGGAGCTCGAGCGACGCACGGAGTTGGCAACCCTGCGCTACGCCCGTGAGATGTTTCACGTGAACGTGGACTAAACCAACTTGCCGCGGCCGCCGGTGGCCGTATCCGTCGACGTTTTTGCCCCGTCTCTGTCTCGCGCTCTCGCCCTCTGCGGGTTTGTGTGTGTTTGTGCGGAGATTGCTGCACAGTTGCTTTTGCGCCATCGCTGCTGACTCTCACGCAACGAAGTTCTTCTTGCTTTTTTTTCTTTCTCCGAACTGCCTGGACGGGTGCGTGCGTGTGCGCCGGCTGCGAGAGCGAATAGGAGCGAAAAGCGCAAAAAGGAGCAAATTATGGCCCCGCCCAAAGCCCCCCTTCCGGCCCGCCTGATCGCAGGGGACTTCCTGGGCTTCAACTGGAACAGGGTGACGTGGATGGCGCCGTACAACAACTTCTACCCCATCACGGTCTGCGGGGGCCTCGGCGGACGTCTCTGGTCGTCGTTCATTCAGTACGGCCACTTCCACAACCGCACCGGCTACAATGTGCTGCGCAACGGCATGCTGGCCATTCCGTCGGCCTTAGCCGCCTTCGTCATGATCTCGAACGTCGACTGGTACCAGGGACTTGCGTGTGCATGCTTCTGCCTGCGGCAGGACGTGCCGGCGTGGGCGCAGGCGAAGTACGCAGAGGAGATGGTGTACCTCTCCTGGAACAAGCCCGGCGTGATGGCGAAGCACCACTACGCCGGCTCCGTCTCGATTCCCGGCACGGAGAAGCTCATCACTGAGTAGAGGAACCGGCGGCAAGGGCCTCTGCACTCGCGGCGCTTAGGGACGTAGCAAAAAGCAAAGCAACACGAAGAGGAAGGAAAAAAGGAAGGAAAAGGCAAACATACAACAGTAATAAGACCCTGCAACTCAAGTGACACCCACAACGCATTTGGGGGGAAGAAGTACGATGGGATAGGATTAGCATGTGGCAGGTGTATATATATATATATGTATGTATGTGGTGTGACGAAGCTGGGTCGCAGAATGATGTGAGGAGCCGGAGGGAGGGAGCGGAGGGTGTTCCTCCTGACATTCCGCTGCGCGAGAGCGAGCGTCCAACGTAGGAGCTATGGGAGGGTTTGCGGGGGTGGGTCACACCTCCTTGGGGTGCGCAGGGTTAGCAGGTTGAGGGTAGTCTGTTTGAGTGCGAACTTGTGACGGACGCGGTGCTGAAGTGTGTCGTGGGGTGTGGTGGTCGTGAGGGGACTCAAGCCACACGGTGAAGTTCACTGAGGCCCTGTGCGATGTGATTTCGGCGCCTCAACTGCCTTCCCCCTTCCACCTCCGTCTTTTTTTTCTTCTTCTCTCTCACTGCGTTGCATTGTGCCGATGCGGTTCGTAGCGACCTGGCGGCCACAGCGCCACGCCCCGTTTCTTCCCAGCAGTATTAGTTTAAGACACCCGGCCGTTGTGGGCAGCGGCGAGCATCGCTTGGCCGCATGACGGCGTCTGCCGCAGAACATGCGGCGTTGCTAAACCGGCTTTGCACCGAAATCCATCTGGCGCAGCAGCAGCTGCGCCGTAGCCGTGAGGCGCGAAGCACATACGGCGTGGCGTGCGACAACGCCGCGGCGTGCGCCGTGGGCAAATCGCCGTCGCCGCCGCCGTCGCCGCCGCGGGATGTGCGGCCGCAGCAGGAGGGTCTGTCGGCAAGTTTGCCCGGCACAGCGCACGACAAGGGGGTTTCCCCGCGCGCGGGCGAAACACGTGCACCGCCGGCGGGGGCGGCAACGGCGGCCCGCAAGGAGGGGACACTACTCCATCTTGAGCGGGGGCCGCTCGGCCGCGAGAGGTTTGCTCCCCATTTTGTCGTTATTGATGAGCACAAGGGTATCGTGTGGTACCAAAGCGAGAGACACGCCCGCACCGCGCCGTCGCGGCCGCTTGGTCAAGTCCCGTTCTGGAAGGAGACACGCAACTCCCGCGGTAGCCGGTTTAAGAAGGCGGCTGTGTGCTGGCCCCTGATCCTCCCGGATGACTGCCCCAAAGCGGACGACCCGAAGAAAACGTACTTTGCAATCGAGTACCTGAACGACAAGGGCAGCTACAGCAAACTTGTTTTTGCCGCCGAGAGCGCGGAAGAGCGCGATGACTGGGTGCTCTTCATCACACAGTTCCTCGAGATGTTCTTGCCGCCGCGTGCGGAGTCGGAGGAGCTGCAGCACCTCCCACGCGGCGCAGCCGTCCCGCGCCACACTTCGGGGGGTTATTTACGGGGAGGCGCCCGGCGGCAACGTGCCGTAGACGTCGTTTCTGCCCCAGCGTGGCGTCGTCGTGTGAACTCCCCCGCACCTCCTCCTTCGCCGCATTGTGCACCCCAACCCCCGTCTGCCTTTTGTGGATCCCTTTCCCTTCCTTCCTTCCTTCCTTCCTTCTTTTTTTTTGTGCCCCTCGTCCCACGCACGATTGCTTGCCTTTTCTCTCTTTTCGCTACGGGCGCTGTCTCCCGTGTCGTATTCCTCCCCCTTTGCTTCCTGCAAAGTCACCGTGTGTGTGCGTGTGTGAGGCGGCGGGTCAAGGCCAAAGGGGGTCGCAGCAACAAACCGGCGCGCTGTGTTTGTCCGGGGGGAGCCACGCGGGCAGCTTTGCTTCTCTTTACGGCGCCACATGTCGCTCCCAATCATTCGTCTGCGCACCGTGAACTTGAACCACGCGACGGCGGCGGAGGACCCCGTCACGGCCTCCTGCACGCTCTACAGTTTCCTTCGCTCCGTTCCCAGTCGCTTTGAGTGCGAGATGGCGATGAGCGACTTCAGGCACGGCGTGCAGGCGGCGCAGGGGCACGTGTACCTGTCGGCGAGAAACACCGATATGCTGAGCCGCGTCTCCGCCGCCGTCCAGGACAGTCTCTTCCGGCAACCGCCGAAGGTCAGCCCGCAGCTGGCGCGGAGCGCACCGACGTGGCGAAGGCTGTTGGGCAAAGAGGCGTCGGCGGGGTCCACGCCGCGCGCGACGGCAGAGGCGCGGCTGCAGGGCAACGACGCGGGCACGCCGCAGCAGCAGCAGCAGCAGCCGCTGCCATTGAGCTCCTCCTATTCCGCGGACGCGGGTGGGCGGCGCGCGCAAAGCCCCCACGTGGGTGTTGAGCCCCGCGGCGGCAGCGAGGAAGCGGTGGTAATGGAGACCGTCTCCGCAACCTCCACGCGCTTCAAAAGCCCCTACGAGCCGCTTATGCCGCCCGCCTGCGGGCCGGCGTCAGCGCCCGCACACAGCACTGCGGCGGGGGAAATTCACGAGGCGCTGGAGGAGAACCAAGAGACCCACGCGGAAGACGAACACCGCGAGGAAGGTGTCAATCTTCCAGGAAAACGGTACCGGCCGCACCCGCTGCTTCTTGCCATCTTGGAGCGGGTTCGCGCCTCCTGCACGGCGGAGGAGCATGCGAGCGACCGGGCGGAGCGGGATTTCAACACCATGATGGAGTCTAGAGAAAGAGCGCTGCGCACCAAACTGTCGAGTGCCTTTTCGATGATTTCGCCCAGCGACAAGGGCTGCATTGCCTTCTTGCAGAAGATGGAGGCACGTGTCGCCATCGCGAAAAAGCTCTTTGAGGTGCAGAGATACGAGGAGGGGACGATGCGGATGACAGAGTGCGCGTTGCGGCTTGAGGTCGCGGCGATGCGTGCGCTGCTCCGCCAGATTGTGGATGCCGTCGCGGAGGCGGAGGAGCGGCATGAACGAGAAGGCCCCCGCTGTCCCCACTACGCGGAGGAGTGTCATGCTATGGCGGCCATCCATCAGGCCCTGGAGGAGCTGCCATCGTGAGCCGCGCAGCGGTGGACTTCCCTCCCACCGCCACAGTTCTTGTTCTACGCGTGCCTACCTGCCAAGCGTGTACCTGCACTTTGTATCTGATCACGTGCCCGCGATATGTGCGCCTCTCCCCGCGCTTCCTTTCCTCTCCTTCCCTTCTTCTTTCCTTTTCTTTTCGTGACTTGTCTCTTATTGCTTCTGTTTTTTTCCCCCTTTTTTCTTCCCTCCTCCCTTTTTTATTTCTTCTAATACTTCTTTTTATTGTTCTCCTTTTTGCTTCCAAAAAAAAATCTTTTTTTTTTTCTTTTGCGGCTGTTGCCAGTTCACCTCCAGGAATAAAATGGCGCCGCCGGCGGGGTTGATGGCGGTGGAGGCCCCGAGTGGCGTCTTGTTCCGCCGCCTTGCGGTTGCACCCGACTACGCGGCCGGACGCAAAAGAGAGATTCTGGCGACGTGGAGCACCTGCTCAGTCCCGCTGCTTGCCACAGGCGCCGAAGCGGACGATGGGCTTCCCGCCGTACGGCTGGACCGTTCGCTGCCGTGGGTAAAACTCCCGTATCCCGCCATCGATGTGGCCTGGTGCCCGTTCAAGGAGGGAGATAGCTACGCTTCATTCCTGTCAGCGTGTCGCAGCTGTCCGTTGCAATTGTGGGACGCGGACGACGCATCGCTCCGTGCGTCGTACTGCTGCCACAACGCGCTTGGAAAGCCGGCAAGCCCCTTTTCCTTATTGTGGTCCCGCCGCCGCACCTTTCTGGTGGGTGGCTACGGCGGCGCGGACGATCACGTGCATGTTCGTCTCTACGACGTGCTCCGGGAAGGGAACACAGCTCAGGCGTCGTATCACTCGCCATGCTCAAAGGGTATTGTCTCGGCCCTTGCCGATGGACCAGCACCGTACGAAGAATCACTGCTACTGGCAGGATTTGTACGGTCGGGCAATGTTGACGTTATAGACACACGCCATTTAGGCGCGGCAGCCGTACTGCGTGGGTTGCGGTCGGGTGTTGCGCAGATTCAAGCGCATCCAGCGTCGGAGTACCTTGTGTACGCCGCGGGTCGACTGGGTGATAATCGGATCGTTTGCTGGGACCTCAGGAAATGCAACCAGATCCTACTCTTCGTCGAGCGGCAGCTGTGCACGCAACAGCCCACTTTTTTTGGCTTCGTGCGTCCCCGAGGAGCAGGAGAGCGGCGAGGGCGTCTGGTGTCTGCCACGCACGACGGTGGTGTTTTGGTCTTCGATGAAGACGGCGCTGCGGCTCAGCCACGGCGCGTTCAGGCGTCTCTGGGGCCCACCGCAGGATTGTCCGTGCTGGACGCTGAAGGCGCGGTCGCCGTCACGGTGGGAAAGCGCCATTACCCTGTGCGAGACACTTACGAGGCAAACGGAGGCGAGTCGAGGACGAGCATGAGGCGGCGCGGAAAGCGGGAGCGCGTCCCACTTGATGACTCGGAACCGGAGACTGAGGGCGGGCCCTGCGGCGGGGAAGCTGCGGCCGGTGTGGCGACGCTGAGGGTGTAAGAACGTGGCGTGGGGCTTCTGGCGAGCTGCGGAGCCCCACTTCTGCCAGCACTTTTTTTTTCCTTTGCCGAGTGCTGGCTTTCGTCTTTCCCTCCCCCACCCTCTTTTCTTTCTTTCCACGACATGCGTTCTGGTCGTGCCGGCCACACCGTGCCCGCAGTCGGGGCGCATTGCTTTTCTTCTGCGCCCTCGGCGTTCCTTCCTCTTTTTTTTGTATCTCTCGCTTTTCCGTCGCACGCGCGACCCAGCGGAGGCAGCAGCAGCCACAAAAGGAGAGGGGCCTCCTGGCAGCCGAACGGCGTGTCCGCGGCCCGGCGTAAGGGTGGAGGGCGGGAGGACGCAAACGCAAGGACAAAGAGAGACTTTAGTTGCGTCATTGAGCTTGAATTGTCTGTTGCTCCCCCATGCCGCGAGGGTGCGACGGCGATCCCCACGCGGGCAATGGGGAGAACACCGACACGCTGCGGGTTGTTGACTTCCCCTGCGCCCGTCTCCTGACGCTCTGTCGCCCATCCGCGCTTAACGCCCTGTCGCTCGAGATGGCTCAACACATGTTGTGGCTGCACCTAAAAAAACCGCATCCACGCCTCCCTTGCCGCGCCATATATGTCCTAAAAGGCGCCGGCACCAAGAGCTTCTGCGCTGGTGGTGACATTCGGGATATTGTCACCCATGGCACCCTGAGTAGCTTCCTGAGCATGACCTATCGCCTGAATTATCACATACTCACAATGCCAAACCCCCAAGTCTCTTTGTGGAATGGCTACGTCATGGGCGGAGGTGTGGGCGTTTCTGTGCATGGACGATATCGTGTGGCGTCGGAGCATGCCCTCTTTGCAATGCCAGAAACGGCCATTGGAATGTTCCCAGATAACGGCATGACGTACAGGTTTCAGCAGCTTCCTTTTAAAGGGCTCGGCCTGTACCTTGGCCTAACGGGGGCGCGCCTGAAGGGGGCGGACTTGGCCCACGCGGGCCTTGCAACACACTATGTCCCTTCCGCCTCCTTTGCGCAGCTGGAGGAGCGCCTGTGCAGCATTGATGACCCTGCGAGGACGGAGGCGTGTCTGGAGGAGTTTGCCGTGAAGGATCTGCCCCCGTTCACGCTTGAGCCGCACCGTGAGACGCTTGCGAGGATCTTTGCATTGGAAGACACAACCACGGTGGAGGGCATTGTGGAGGCCCTCTCCGCCGACGGCGGTGAATTCGCGTTGCAGGCGCTGAAGCTGCTACGCAAAGCCTCTCCCACGTGCCTTAAGGTGACGCTGGAGTTGTTCCGCCGGGTGTCCCGGCTCAGTAGCATGCGGGAGGCCATGTCTTTGGAGTACAACGTTATTCAGCGCATTGCGGCGACCAACGAATTTGCGATTGGCGTGCGGGCGCTGCTAATTGACAAGACGGGCGACTCGCAGTGGGAGCGGAGGACGCTGGAGGAGGTGACGCCCTCCGCGGTGGAACACTTCTTCGACGGCGCGGGCCTCGCGCCGTGGGAGCCGGAGGCCCCCTGGGAGGCCATGGCGGAGGCGGCCGGCGAGGCAAAGTGGCGGCCCCCCCACGCCTATCACATATACTTTTAAACAGTAATGGAACGCAGAAGCCGCAAAGCAGCGAAAGAAAAAATAAACAGACAAAAAAAAAGTTGCCACATGGGTGCAGAAGTCCTGCTGCTATATAGTTTATTTGTCACGCATACACGCACTTCTTTCCCTTTCTCTTGGAAAGGTAGGACCAAAAAAGAGAGGCGACAGTACCGTGAAATTCGTCTTGCATCTTCCCGCCGTGTGTTGTGGTCATACACAGTAATAATCGTAGGGAGAAACGGCGCCCGGACACAGCAAGAAGGAGTAGTCAAAAAGGAAGCGATCACGTGTCTTGGCTTCAGGGGAGCTGCATCTGTTAACTAAGGCACAATGCGGCGAACAACTCTGGCCTTGACGAGTAAACTGTTGTATAATGACTTTGCGAATACTCGCCTCATAATCATGAACCGCGAAAAGTCTCTAAATGCCATTGATCTGGATATGATTAATGTGATGCAACAGCTCTATCTTCACAAACCACACCCCAAGGGTGACGCTGCACTTTATGTCCTAAAAGGCGCCGGCACCAAGAGCTTCTGCGCTGGTGGTGACGTCATCGCGGTGTCAAAGAGCATTGCCCTCGCAGAAGAGTTCTTCTATAAGGAATACCAAGTTAATTACCGCATACTCACAATGCCAAACCCCCAAGTCTCTTTGTGGAATGGCTACGTCATGGGCGGAGGTGTGGGCGTTTCTGTGCATGGACGATATCGTGTGGCGTCGGAGCATGCCCTCTTTGCAATGCCAGAAACGGCCATTGGAATGTTCCCAGATGTGGGGGCAACATGGTTCCTGCCTCGTGTCAAGATGGAGGGGCTCGGCCTGTACCTTGGCCTAACGGGGGCGCGCCTGAAGGGGGCGGACTTGGCCCACGCGGGCCTTGCAACACACTATGTCCCTTCCGCCTCCTTTGCGCAGCTGGAGGAGCGCCTGTGCAGCATTGATGACCCTGCGAGGACGGAGGCGTGTCTGGAGGAGTTTGCCGTGAAGGATCTGCCCCCGTTCACGCTTGAGCCGCACCGTGAGACGCTTGCGAGGATCTTTGCATTGGAAGACACAACCACGGTGGAGGGCATTGTGGAGGCCCTCTCCGCCGACGGCGGTGAATTCGCGTTGCAGGCGCTGAAGCTGCTAAACCAGATGTCCCCCGCCTCTCTCTGTGTCGCCTTGGAGATGTACAGGCGGGGCTCGAAGATGACAGATCCTGCAGACGCGTTCCAAGCGGATTTCATTGGGGCCATGAGATGCTGCGTCAATCCGGACTCTCGTGAAGGGGCGAGGGCGCTGCTGATTGACAAGACAAAAGACCCCAAATGGAACCCGGCCCGGCTCTCGGACGTCACGGCGGAGTACGTCGGGGCGTACTTTGAGCCCTTGGGACCCCAACTTCGTCCCTGGCACCCAACCAAACCCTTTTAAGTTGGGGTCCTCTTTTTAAGTGGATAGAGGCGTTGGTATCTTTAGGCATCTCTCGGCTGATTTTTTTTGTTTTGTGTTTTATTTTGCCTTTGTATTCTCCCTCGGCCGTTTTGTTAACCTCCGAGTGTGGAGTGCCGCACCGCCCTTTTTTTTTTGCATCTCCTGCCTGCATGCCTTTGCCCGCGCTTCTCCCCTTCTCTTCCTCTTCCTCCTCCTCCTCCTCGTCCCCCCTTGCCGCGCCTCCCGGAGGTCGGATTCCTGCCTGGCAGCTGTGCGCAACCCGTCACGCATGAGTGAGGGGGCGGGCGCCGCGGAAGACGCCGGCGGCGGCTGCGCGCCCCTCGCAGCAAACAAAGAGAACGGGCTGGACGCGGCGAGCCCGCACTACTCCGCGCGTGGGGCGAAGGACGTCGTGGGCTCCGCCGCCGCCCAGCACGGGGAGTGGACCAACCGCCTCTTTGACTCCAATAGCGAGTGCAGTTTTGCCACCCCCTTCGCGCTCTCCGGCACCGTTGGCCCGCACCACGCCCTGCCCGCCGCCGCGGTGCGGACGATGGGGGGGCCGCCGCGGGGTTCGCCGACGTTGGAGGTGACGGAGCCGGACGGCACCATCTCCGAGAGCCTCTCCAGCTTCGTGAGCGAACTCGGCCGAACGCGGCGGCGGCGGCGACGCGAGCAGTTCGCCCTTGAGCACCCCGTCGACGGAGAGAAGCAGCGGCGCGACCTGGAGATGGCCCTCCAAAGCCTAGAAGAAATGCAGCGGGAGAACAAGGAGCGGATGCGGCTTGGGGCTTCCCACGCGCTCAGTAGTCACGCGTGCTCCCCCAACGAGAAAAACTCGGCGGCCTCGGGGAGGCCAGGCGGACGTTTGGTGCAATTTTTCCGCACACAGTCGGTTGGCGGCTTGGCCTTCTGTGAGAAGCCGAAGCGCTGCGCCCTGAAGCGCGTGATGACATCCACAGTGATGCCTGAGCCAAACCCGACGACGCCGACGCCCGTGCCGCGCCAAGCAGAGCAGAGGACCTCCTCTGCCCACGTCCAGTCCGCGTCCTCGCGGTACCGACGTGGGAGCCCCACAGGCAACAAATTTGGCGAAATGCGGCTAGATGAGTCTCGCGACGCTGTCACGCTCCTGCCCAGGAAGGATTCCAAGCTGCAGACGTCGCCGTCTCCAAGGACGAAGGTTGTGCGGGAGCAAACTGGCACCGCGGAGAGTCGGGCGTCAGCGCCAGGTGCCAGCAACCCCTCCTCGCCGCCATGGGGCCCGCTGACACCCAAAAGGGTCGCCAGCGGGGGCGGCTTTACGCGGACCAGCGCTGAGGAAAAGAGGGCGATAAACGGCCATGATAGCTTTGAAGGCGCCCCGAGGGCGGCGGGCGCAGAGGGGAATTGGTGCACGCCGCCCTCGAACTACGAGGGCAAAGGCACGTCTGGGGAGGCAAATGACAGTAAAAAAGTCAATAGCGGGAAAAAGTCTGCGTCACGTCGCATGGGACGTTCCGCGTCCCCGCCGATTATTATTTTGACGGTGGACTCTAGAAGGAACATGGGCGAGGAGGACGCCAGGCGGCTGCTGAGCGCGGAGCCGATACGGTCTCCTGAGCTGCTCTCACGACTCATGCCGCATAACACCGCAGCACGTCTTGCGGCAGCTCATGTGCCAAAGAAGCATTCGCCGGAGAAGGCCGCGTCACGATCGCCCACTATTCAGCCCGCCTCACGATCGCCCATTGAGAAGTCCGCGTCACGATCGCCCATTGAGAAGGCCGTGCCACGATCGCCCACTAATCAGTCAGCCTCACGATCGCCCATC